ACAGTTCCGATGAAATAATTACTTAATTGGCGTTCCTATACTTTTTATTTGAACTACTCAACCGTCGTTTTGTTTCTTACACGAACGGATATGCGTTGTTATAAATGCTAATATAATAATTTATATATTTGCACGCACAATAGAGATTAAGGAAATTTGAAGAGAATATGGAGAAAAAACTTGGGAAAGAAATTTTTACATCCGTAGATTAGTGGTTAAAGTTATGGAGTCAATAGACTTTTAAAAGCCTTATAAGACTGAGGCTGAAAAATGGTAGATTTTTGTTCTCGAAATCGTCGACAAAAAATTGTATCCGCACATACATGTACACACACGCACGCAAACACATACACACGCATATATCCATTTTTTCTAAGGTAAAAATGTTGCCAAAATGTTCTGAAACGTATAAAAATTTCCATTTTCGATTTTTTTGCAAAAAGTGGTTTTCTACCAAATCAGATATTTTTGACTTGGCTCATGAAGAACTTCTTACACACGACTGACATAGTAAATACCGTGTTGACCTTACAATATAGCAATATACTGTAAATTAGCTAACAATATATAGATAATTTCTCATAAATTATTCGATACTTTGTCCATGTATTAAGATTTATCTGTTATTCCGATGTGTCATACTTTTGTGTTTGAATCAAATCGGTCATAACTGTTTTTGACTTTGACTTCTGCACATTAACAGTTCGTTTTTATGAGCACTTGAAATATCCGTTAAATATATTATTATTTAAGATTAAATAGAAAACCGACGATTCTCAAAATTGAAGAATATACATTTTATTTCATTATTAAGTAAAAGAAAAAATTCAACTAGTGGTGCATCGTGCATTAAGGCAAATTGCTGGTACTTTCCGTACCGAAAACTAAATTTGAAAAAATAAAATTTTTGGGAAATTTTGAAATTTTTGTAAAAAAGTGACTTTTTTGAAAAAATGTTTTATGTTATATTTTGATTTTTTTAACTAAGTTATAGTAATCGCGAAAAATCGAAAATGAAAATTTTTATATATATCTTTACGTTTCAAAGGTTTCTGGATATTCTGGCATACCTTAGAAAAAATGGATGTATGTGTGTTTATGTGTGTGAGTGTGTACGGATACAATTTTTCGTTGACGATTAGACCTGGCTTCTCCAAAATTCAATAAATTTTTCATCTTGTCAATACAAGTAAAATGTTTTTTGGATTATTCAAATCGGTTGATCCTTGTTTCCGAAATCGACGGCGAAAATTTGTATCCGCACACACACACATATACTTATATTTTCATGAAATAAACTATGATTCATATGGAATTGAATTTATGCGCAATTGGTGTTATATTTACATATTTATATATATCGACATGCTATTAGGGTATTTAATTGCAATTATTTTATATTTGTGAACAGGTGAACAAAATAAACATTTCCGATTCTTATCGGAAATATATTCTTAGAATCCTATTTAAATGTTAGTTTATTATTATTATTTAGAAATTTCTCGTGTAGTTTTCCATATTAGCATTTGTCATTTTTATGTATTTAGTCATCGAATAGTGCGCAGTATTTACATTATGACGAGTATATTCGTCAACCACAGTTAACTGGTAAAGAGTAATATAAATTTAAAAAAAAAAATGATCAAAAATTTTTGTCAAAAGTCGCTTTTGTAATGTGATGAGTCAACATTTGAAAATCACAAATTCAAAAGCCATTTTTCGGATTTTTTTTTATTTTTAATTTTTTTCTTTATTTATTTATTAATTAATCTTATAAGCTATTGTGACACAAAGAAGACGAATCAAAAGAAAAATAGTAAAAATAATAATAGTAATAATAATAATAATAATAATGATAATGATAAGAAGAAAAAAAGAAAAAAAAGAAAGTAATAAGAAGAAAAAAAGAAAAAAAAGAAAAACAAAGAAGAAATAATTATCTAGAGTTCACTCCAATGAGTGAAGTCTAGTGTTTCATTTAAGGTCAATTTTTTTTCGGAATCAGCGGAAAAATAGGTTTCAAAACTTCTCTAGTTGGTTAAAAATATTACCACTTTATTATTTTGCGATTTCTTTCGACTACAGCTGATGGACGGTGTAAAAAAACTACTTCCAACAGTGTCCTAGTATATTATTAAAGTCAGTTGTTAATTGCCAAGTTGTCCCTAATTTTTAAGCTCATATGCACCTGTTAATAGCTCTTTTACAGTCATTTCTCTATGTAACATAAAAGACGTACCGTAATCTCGGTACGGTACAATACACCAACCGTACGAACCGTACCTATTTATTTTCATTATGATGTTTTGAAACGCAACAGGTTTTGTTTTAATCATAATAAAACGTTTGTGAACAGTTACTTGGCTCACTGAAATATATCTATATGGGACGAGGATTCAAAAAAAAAACTAGTTGGTATTGGTATTTTGCCTTGAGGCAAGTTACATGAACTTCCCGATATGTGTAAATAATCTTAATAATCGACTTAATCAATAATAAACAAATTAATTTATGAGTGATTAAAAGTGTTCCGAGTGGATTTATAGCACATAATTGAAAACGAACGAACACGTTAATTTGGAGTAATTTCTAGAAGCTTATTTTCAAAAATCAACAATTTTCATAATTGAACCAGTTTCCGCAGGAATGGTTTAGTATGTTCATTAAGACCAAGTATTCTATCGTTACACCAAGTAAATCGTCTAATTTTAATTTTAACAAACGTCCAAGTAAACGTTTAATTTTACTCATTTTCTCAAACTTTGATGAATTTTTAAAATTAAATAACTCATCGTAAAGCCGTAATATTTCAGTAAGTTCTATAAAACCATGATATATATCGCCAAAAAAAGTTCCATAAAAATCGGCTTGATTTTTTTTCAAACAGTTAATTACAAGAAAACGGCTCACCTAAAACTAATCAGTATCATTCCCGACTAATATCTTTCGAACAGTTTTTGATTTTTTAATATCAATTCGGTAGAATGAGCTTAAATGTGGACGAAAAGTTTAACACATTTTTGCAAATTACAAAGAAACGGCTGATCGTCGCACAAAACTGACAAACGATAGCCCTCATTGAGATACATTAAATGGCTTTTTTTGTGAAATCGGTTCAGGCGTTTTTGAGCAAACGTCGATGAAAGGTCTAATTTTGACAAACGCTAAAAAAACGATACCAATTTTTGCAAACTTTGACGAATTTTAAAGTTAAAGGAGGAAGACCATGATATCTTACACAAAAAAAAACATGAATATCGTTGAAAAAAAAAATTAACACTTTATCACAAGAAAACGGCCCGGCCGATCTCTACCAAAAATAATCAGCGAGATTCCCAACCAATATCTTACGAACGGTTTTTCAATTTTCATAATCGATTCAGAATTGTTGGCTAAAACGCGGACGAAAATTTTTCACTTTTTTGCTATTTATAAAGAAACGGCTTGGCTGATCGCCGCACAAAACTGACAAACGATAGTCCTCATCGAGATACTTCGAATGGCTTTCAAATTTATGAAATTGGTACAGCCATTTCTAAAAAAACGTCGATTTACGGCAAAAAATTTGTTCACATACACACACACGCATACTTTTTCCAAATTTGGTCTCATTCGATTCCGAATGGCTTGAAACGTCGAGAAAACATTAAATTAGCGAATTGGATTTTTTGATGAAATCAAAAACTTCTCCTTCGGGAAGTTAAAAAAAACTTAATCCAAGGTGTAGACGATTTTTGTCCGTTGTTTCCAGGATAGCGCTTGAAAATTTAATCTTTAAAAAATAAATATTAATTTATCAAAAATTAAGTAAAGATTCAAGTAAAACTTATTTGCTACTGTACAAGATGGCATTTAAGTAAAAATAAATACATCATACAACAATTTTGAATAATGTTTATTAGTAATATGGTAACACTCGTGATGTACATATTTATTAATGCCAACCAATATACACATTTATATATAGATAAATTATAAATTATATATTTATAATAGCATTAAAAATATGTAATATTTAAAAACAATAATGTAATTAAAGTCATACTTCAAGTATGACATGATCGGTTTGTCATTGTAATTAGCATTTAGAAATGAACGTTCATTAGAGAAATGAATTAAATGCTGATTAATAAATTCTATAATATTCGTTTACACCTAAACAAATATTGTTTTCGCAACTTCACTTATCATGTAATTGTGCTTGAAGAACTTCATGTAATTAAAATTAACATACATTCATTGACTGTTTGTGTTTTTTTTTACTTTTTCGCTGGCGATATAATCTCATTCAAAGAATGCTGTAATATCTGCCTTGCCTTAAATATTTTTCATTTTTTTATATTATTATTATTATTATTATTATTATTATTAAGTATTTTTACAATATAAGTATTTTCTCTTACAAATTTTTAGGTATTTTGATGAAAGAAATATTTTGTTTCACAATTTTTGTAGTGTTTTTAAATTTTAAGTTTTTAGTTAACTAATTAATAAGTCTTTTAACAATAACAATCATATAAAAATAATAATTATAAAAAATAGTAATTTAGAAGTATTTTTGCAACAGAAGTATTTAGTTTAGCGAATTATGTTATGACGAGCATTGTTTTATTATTTTTAAGGAACAGGTTAAAATATTCTTTCGATTCAGGCATTTTTCATTAAATCAAGATTTGTACTACGATGTAACTTTAAAATGTTTATTTATTTATGCCGATTTCCTTGTTGATATCGGTACGCATACAACGACAGATCTTCATTCACATACACGACGACTAATCACAATCGACCCGTATAGAAATGATCTCATCCAGAGCGAATGACGAACAGTTCGGACGTAACGGGCTTTCGTTGCATTTGTACGGATTTACACCCTAGTCGCGCCTAAAGAAGTTTTACTTCAAAAAAATTCACATAATAAAAGCAAAATTACTATGTTATAATGTACAATAATTTTTACATTTCTATTTTTTTCTTCCAGATTTTAAGAGCTAGCCACAATGCTGGACCGACAGCTGGTTTGGGCACGTGACCCGGAACACGGGTTCGTGCTCGGACAAATCAGCGAAATTTTGGCCCAAGGGGCCGAAATCAAACCCACAGACAGCAGACTGCAGAAACGAGTTGTGCCTTTTGAGGACACCTATCCTGCTCAGGATAAACAGGAGGATGTCGATGATAATTGTAATGATATAAATATATTTTATTTTATGTGAAATTTATATATATATATATATATATATATATATATTTATTTATATATATATATATATATAAATTATGGTGGTCCTTAACAAGAATTTCTTTGCTCACAAAGGCGCCAATGCTTCCAAAAGGATAAAAAATGAGTCTCTAATCGTATTAGCTCTTAATATAAACATTTAGATAGAGCGCACGTCAATTGAAAGTTTCTTATATTTGTTATTAACATACGCCATTAAGTAAATTCTTGCGCTATCTGTCGTGAACTCAAATATTATGACACATAAGAATATTTATAAACCACTTAACCTCTAATTAAATCCATGTGGGCTGTTCTATAATATTTATTTATCATGGAATCAAGATAATAATTTTGCTGCAAAATTAATCTTGATTCCATGATGAATAGAATTTAATTAATTTACATATAAACAAGCAAAAAAATATCTTATGATAACAGAATCTTTGAAGATGCACTTATCATAACATTCTTCTTTGCTTGATTATATGTAAAATACGCCGGATCGCACAGCAAAAATAGACTTCACAGAATAGAATAGATTTAACAGTTTTCATTACCAAGAAACAATAAAAAAGAAGCATAATATACCGTTGCCATGACAACGCTATGCTATAAGCTCTGTTACGGCAGAATTGCCTCCATCTTTGACCTCAAGTGTGTATTTCATATCATACTGTTTGATATTGAGCTGGCTTAAGTTGGAATTCCATGACTAATTTTTTCTTGCTCAAATTTTTGACTGATCATGATGGGTTCGGAAATCTAAATAAATCGCTATATTCATTTTAATTATATATTTCTAGTATGATTCCATATCATACTGCTTGATATTGAGCTGTCCGAGATTGGAATTTTGGGTTTATTTTATGCTAGCTCGCAAAGTTCATCTTGACGTTAGCTATTTTATTCTATCTTTCTTATTTTGATTATTTTATTTAATATTTTATGTTAATTTACGTCTTCCGTTTTAGGTGAGTTGATGTTCCTAAATGAGGCTACACTTTTACAAAATATAAAACAACGATATGGAAAAGATAAAATATACGTAAGTTTTACAAAAATTGATTCAAATTAAATTTAATATACTAATTTTGTTTTTGTTAATTTTATTTATCATTTTAGACATACGTAGCAAATATATTGATTGCAGTCAATCCCTATAAAGAAATTAAAAATTTATACTCCTCCGAAACTATAAGAAGTTATCAAGGAAAATCTTTAGGGAAAATGCCACCGCATGTTTTTGCTATCGGTAAGAAAAAATTTAATAAATCGCAATTAATTCATCACTACTATATTTAAAAAAAAATCCTATTTTCATTTTTAGCCGATAAAGCATTCCGAGACATGCAAGTATTGAAGCAATCACAATCAATTATTGTATCTGGAGAATCTGGTGCTGGCAAAACTGAGTCTACAAAATATCTTTTGAGATATTTATGTGATTTGTGGGCAAAAGCGGCTGGACCTATAGAGCAAAAAATATTGGACGGTAAGAAAAAATTTTTGGTTACGCGACGACCCGGTTGCGTTGGCGCCCGGGTCGTTGAGCCGATATTAAGTTTACTTTATGTATTACCTATATTTTTTATTTTTTAGCCAACCCGATTCTCGAAGCTTTCGGAAACGCCAAGACAACCCGCAACAATAACAGTTCGAGATTTGGTAAATTTATAGAAGTCCATTTTGATGCCAAATGCCAAGTCGTAGGCGGTCACATTTCTCATTATCTTCTGGAAAAATCGAGGATTTGTGTCCAGAGTCCGGAAGAAAGAAATTACCATGTATTTTATATGCTTTGTGCAGGTGCTCCTAAAGAACTGAGGCAGAAACTCAAATTGACTAAACCTGATGATTATAGAGTAGGACTTATGACATTGATTTATTTACGTACATAATTACAATTACATACTAATTGATGTTGTTGATTTTTGCAGTATTTGAAAGGTGGATGTACACAATATTTCACAAATGCAACTACTGAAAAACATTTGACACCTGAACAGAAGAGCAAGGCTATGATTGCTAATGGTGGTTTACGAGATCCTCTCTTGGATGATGTTAAAGATTTTCAATTGTTAGATCAGGTATTAGCATAATAATATTTATATATGATATATTAGGTATAATGTCATTTTTTTACCAGGCTCTCAAGCGAATCGGTCTATCAGACGCCGAATGTTTCGAAATTTATGCCCTGGTGGCAGCGGTTCTGCATTTGGGCAATGTTTGTTTTGAAGAGACTCCTGAAGACACCAGAGGCGGATGTAGGGTTGCCACATCTTCAGAAACATCTTTAACCATGGCTTCAGCACTTATTGGAGTTGATGCCTTTGAAATGAGACAGGCTCTGGTGTCCAGAGTTATGCAGAGTAGTCGAGGAGGTGTTAAGGGCACTGTTATAATGTAAGTAACCAGAATAAAAATTTAGGAACAAACAATAAAATTATATCAAATATTTGTAAATTTATCATACGGTTGTGTAAAAATATTTTACATTACAGGGTGCCTCTGAAAATAAATGAAGCCAGCAATGCAAGAGATGCCTTGGCAAAAGCTCTGTACAGCAATTTATTTGACCACATAGTAAACAGAATAAATCAAAGTATTCCTTTCAAAGCTTCTTGCTACTATATTGGTGTATTGGATATTGCTGGATTCGGTAATTAAATTTGGCAATTTTAACTTAAATGTTAATAATTAATGAGAATTATTATCATTTTCAGAGTACTTCACCGTTAACAGCTTTGAGCAGTTTTGCATAAATTACTGCAACGAAAAGTTGCAACAGTTCTTCAACGATAGGATTTTGAAATCCGAACAAGTTTTGTACAAGAAAGAGGGTTTGAATGTTCCGGAGATTAAGTTTACTGATAATCAAGATTGCATTGGTGAGTCGAAACTTAATATACTTATAACTCAAGGATAAATTTTAAACGAAATAAGATAGATAAAATTCAAAATTAATCGATAATAACAACGCAAACCGAAAATTTTTGATAGTACAATTTTATATTGCATGTCAAAAATGACGGACCTGCACACTTCTGTTTACTGCATCACCCTGCGGGAAGTATGCAGGACAGTTTACATGCCCAATCGAGATAAATAAAATATTTTAATATCGTTCAAGATTCTATTGAAAAACGCCCGCCTGATACAAATATCTCTTAGCTTCCCTATTTCTTCCTGGGAAAATATTTTCAAACGATTACTCTGACATTTTTTTTGTTATATATTAATATTTTTTTTAGATCTTATTGAGAGCAAGAATGGCGGCTTATTCAACCTGCTAGATGAGGAATCAAAATTGCCAAAATCAAATTCGGCGCATTTTACCGAAAGTATTTTTGCACGTTGGCCGTCGCATTTCCGACTGTGCAAACCTCGGACATCCCGTCTTAAGGCGCACAGAGAAATCAGGGATGACGAGGGATTTTTGATCAGACATTTTGCTGGAGCTGTATGCTATACTACGGTAATTAGATAAATAAATCTTTGTCTGCCAAAGGCAAATTCAACAAATCGATTTCTCTTTCCATACTTTTGCTTAAATGCTTGCTGCTTTTGTGCTTCGGCTTTCAGTTCCCTGTATTTTTTTTTCTTGCATAAGTCATTAACCACCTACATTTTTCTTCTTCCTATTTTTTTAGTCTTTCTAAATTTCTTCCGACGACGTCGTGCAGGAGGCACTATTTTTGCAGAAAAAGTCCGATCCAGTTTCCCTTCCTTTTTTCTTTTTGCCTATTTTCTAAGAACTTCTTCATTTGTTATCTTGTCTGTCCTCTTTATCTTCTCCATTATTCTCTAGCACCACATTTCAAAACTTTCCAGATAGTTTTTTTTGGCCTTTCTAAGAGTCCATGTCTCTGGTTCGTAAAGAACTTACTAAAATGAACAAATTATTTACATACTAACTACATGAAGAAGAAGTTTAGGTTTGCAGCAGAAATTCAATTTACTAATTATTCCTTGACATGTCAATTTATTCTGAATTTTTTGAGACCGAAATTGGATAATTTCTAATATTTATTCATTTATTTTTCAGAAACAATTTATAGAAAAGAACAACGATGCTCTCCATGGATCTTTAGAAGGTCTGGTACAAGAATGCAGTAATCCTTTGCTGAAAAGGATATTCCGTACATCAAATGCTACAACGAAAGGAAAACTTACTTTCATCAGCGTTGGATCCAAGTTTAAAACACAACTTAGCGAACTTATGGAGAAACTAAATAGTAATGTAAGTAAATTAATAATAATATAAATTAATAGATAGCAAACATAGATGCTTTGCCATTACTTCAATTTTAATTGTTTTCGCACTTCATAGAAGCACCACTAACTGTAGCACGTAAATTTACCCTTGGGTCTAATTGCAGATATAAATGTATGATGTGGAAAATACAAATCCGATTAATTATTATAGATTTTGTTTGAAAATAACTATGAATTTGGGCACCATAGACCCTCTGTTGAGTGCGGAAGCTACTAAAAACTGCTTAAACAAATTTATTCTTAACATTCTTCATTCCCAAAAAATATTTTCCTTGAATCTTTCAGCGTTGTAAAAATCAGTCTGATTCAAATTTTTACATTTTTTAAACTAAAACTCTTTAGGCGCCACTAGGGGGTAACTCCGTGAAAATGCAACGGAAATGCGTTACGCCATAAATACTGATTTGTCATTGGCCAAGATGGCATTGTCACGTGATATTCCATTTTTTTTTATTTTTTAGGGTACAAATTTCATAAGATGCATAAAGCCGAATAACAAAATGAACGACCATGAATTTGTGGGCAGTCTGATATTAACCCAACTAAAATGCTCAGGAATGACCAGTGTCTTAGAATTGATGGAACACGGATATCCATCGAGATGCCAGTTTGAAGATTTATACAAAATGTATGAAAAATATTTGCCACCTGAATTGAAAAAGTTGCACCCGAAAACATTCTGCGAGGTAAAAAATAATTGATAATTATAAAAATGATTGAATTTGAAAATTTTGCTTACTTCATATTTATTCTTTATTTTTTTTCGAATCTTTAGGCAATGCTGCATAGTTTAAATTTGTACGACAAAGACTACAAATTCGGCATAACACGCGTTTTCTTCCGACCTGGTAAATTTGCTGAATTCGATCGTATCATGAAATCTGATTCCAGCAATTTGCAAGAAGTCATCAAGAAGGTACAAAAGTGGTTGGTACGGTCCAGATGGTTGAAGGCTATTTTCTGCGCTTATGCTGTCATTAAAAGTAAGCTTAAAAATCTTTATTAAATAAAAAAAATATCTTAAATCAATCTACCAGTGTATTTTTTTTCTAGTGAAAAACCGAATGAATTATCGAAGCAAGTGTCTTGTAAAGGTGCAGAAGACAGTACGTGGTCACCTGGTTAGAAAACAGCACCAGCCTCGAATACAAGGTATCAAGAGAATTAAAGCACTACATTCGCGTTTGTTTGAAATGAAGAAAGTCATCAGCCAACTTAAGAAAGACAAGCCATCCAGAGAAGATGATGTTCAAAAATTACAAACCAGTATTGATACAGCTATAAGAACTATTAAGGTAAAAGAGTACCAAGAAAGTGGAAAAGTGGCCTTTAATCCATATCTCTTTAATTGTTTGTCTTTTTCCTAGGGTGATTCCAGTATAAAACCATCCACAGTAGATGACATGTATAATAAGTTAAAAACAACAGTGGATCAAGTAATGGGTCTGCTCCAAAAGCAAATGGTGGAGCAACGTAATGCTGAGGAGCAGGAACGTTTACGCAAGATACAAATGGAAATTGAAGCAGAAAATAGACGTAAGGAGGAAGAGCTCAAAAAGCAGAAGCAGGAAGAAGAAAATAGGAAAAAGTTAGTATCTACTTACGTTTTATAAATCTTGCAAACTAGTCCATTTTTACAAGTCCGATAGACGCTCTTTTTGGACAAGTTGTACTACTTAATAGATTTTTAGCGTCGTAATAAGTCTTGTTAACTTGCCGAAGGAGACGTTAATTTTATGTTTTCTCGACGTTTCAAGCCATTCTGAATCTAATGAGACCAAATTTGGAAAAAGTATGTGTGTGTGATCTGCAATTCTGAATCGATTTTGAAAATTCAAAAACCGTTCGAAAGATATTGGTTGGGAATCGTGCTGATTAGTTTTTGGTAGAGATCGGCCGGGCCTTTTTCTTGTGATAAAGTGTTAAAAAAAAAAATTCGACGATTCTTATGTTTTTTTTTGACGGTAGATACCATGGCCTTATAGATCATACTAAAATATTACGGTCCTACGACAACTCGTTTAACTTTAAAAATTCGTCAAAGTTCGCAAAAATTATAGTTTTTTTGGCTAAAATTAGACCTTTCATCGACGTTTTCTCAGAAACGCCTGTACCGATTTCAGAAATTTAAAAGTCATTTGATGTATCTCGATGAGGACTATCGTTTGTCAGTTTTGTGCAACGATCGGCCGAGCCGTTTCTTTGTAGTTTGGGAAAAAGTATTAAACTGTTCGTCTGTTCGTCTACATTTAAGCTCATACTACCGAATCGATTTAAAAAAATCAAAAACTGTTCGAAAGGTATAAGTTTTAGGTGAAAAAAATTTAAGCCGATTTTTATGAATTTTTTTTTGACTATATATATCATGGTCTTATAGAATTTACTGAAATATTATGGCCTTACGACAAGAAATTTAATTTTGAAAAATTCGTAAAAGTTTGAGAAAATGAGTAGTTTTTTTAGGTTTGTTAAAATTAAAATTAGACAATTAACTTTGTATAACAATTAGATTTTACTAATTTGTATACATTAGATTACTTGGTCCTAATGAACATAAAACCATTAAAACCCTACGGAAATTGGTTCATTTTTTAAATTATTTATTTGTGAAAATTTGCTTTTAGGAAATACTCCGAGTTAACGTGTTCGTTCGTTTTCAATGATGTGTAATAAATCCACTCGGAATACTTTTAATCATTCATAAATTAATTTATTTTTTATTGATTAAGTCGATTATTTACACATATCGGGAAGTTCATGTAACTTACCTCAATGCAAAATACTAATACGAACTATTTTGAATATAATTTTGAAATTATTTTTTCAGAAAAGCAGAAATCGAAGCTAGACGAAAACAGGAGGAAATCGAGCGCAAGAAACAAGAAGCTGCTGATAGAAAGGCTGCCGAGGCTTTACAGGTATTTTTTCGGGATTTTCTTACAAAATACCTTTATTATTCCATCTAATTTTTACAATTGTTTTTCCCAGGCTATGTTAGAGAAAGAAGCCGTAGAAGACAGACAATACAATGAGCAATTAGAACAAGAACGCCGAGACCACGAATTAGCAGTCCGACTCGCCCAAGAATCCAATGGCCAAGTTGATGACTCGCCACCATTAGCCAGAAGGTTGGTAAATATTGTACTATGAAAATCTAAGTAAAAATATTTTATGAATATGTTTTTTATCAGATCGGAGCAAGTTCGTGCCCAACAAGCACTGCAGGCCAAACAGAAGTACGATTTGTCTAAATGGAAATACTCTGAATTGCGGGATACTATCAATACCTCATGTGATATTGAGTTGTTAGAAGTAAGTCATAATGAAACTAGTTTTGAACCAAAAATGATCACCCCATTAGAAACTGATTCCATTTTTAACTTCCTGTAGGGTAGTCATAGTAATGGGCCGAAAATCGAAAATGAAAATTTATGCATTTCTCGACGTTTTGAAGGTTTCTGAACATGGGGCATACCTCAGAAACTAAATGGATGTGTGTGTATGTGTGTTTTGTATGTCCGCATTTTTCCGTTTACGTTTTCGGGCGCACGGATCAACCGATTTGAATGGTTAAAAAAACATTCGATCCCTATTGATAGGGAGAGCTGATTAGTCTTTGGCAAAGGCAGGTCGAGCCGTTACGGAGATACGGAGCAAAGAGTGCAGAAAATACAAATCGAGTTTTTGAGAGAACGGAGTATCGGATTTGAATGATCTAAAAAACATTCAATTTGTAATGATTGGGAGAAGAGGTGATTAGTTTTTAGCAAAGACCGGTTCCGCCATTTCGAAGATACAGAGCTAAATGTGCAAAAAATGGCAGTTTTTGAGTGAACTAAGCGTCCGATTTGAATGATCTAAAAAAATTTCTGCTTGCATTGACAAAACAATTGCTTTTGAGGATAAAAAATATTACGTCTTTTTTTATTTTGCATAAAATATTTTTGTAATTTTGGATTAAAAATTCAAAAAATTACCCAGGCTAAGCACAGCCTAAGCGCCACTGTGGTACAAATGATTACCCAAGTCCGTTTAGACTGTTTATGTACGAGAGCACTTTTCCAATTTTGTGAAAAAAACTATTGAAAAATGTGAAAATGCCGCCAATCTAAGCACAGTATAAGTGAAAATGTCGCCTAGAATTATTTGCAAATTATTTGCAAATTATTTAGACTGTGACTATACGGGAGCACTTTTTCAATTTTGTGTAAATTTATAAAAGCAACTATTTTTTTGAACTTGAATTCGAAATGAAATGACGATTGTTAATGTTCTGGAGATAAATTGATTTATGATTTACATTTGATTTGCTCAGGTATAACAAGATAGCAAAAATAATGAAAGTTACAGTATTTTTTATAATATATTTGAAAACGTTTAAAATTACCCGAATATTTTATTACGGTATGGGAAGTTCCAGCAATTTGCCTTAAAGCACGATGTTATACATCACAATAGTTTTATTTTGATTACTAATAAGGTGACCATACGTCCCGGATTTCCACCTTGTGTCCCGGGTTTTTCTTAAGGCAATATTTGTCCTGGATTTTGATTTTCTGTCGGGGATGTCCCGGTTTTTCGAAAATAAATAATTAAATTAACAAAAATTAAGAAAACTAACAGATGCTATTTTTTTCAAATTAATTATGAAGAAAATTGAATAGAACATATAGATCGAAAAATATAGGATATAATATCATAGATAAAGAAGTATTGCAAAAAATAGTCGAAGTATAAAGCTCTTACTAAAAGTAAGCGATTATGATAAAAAAAGATTCAATTAAAAAAAACTGTTTTTTTTATTGTATCCTTGAACAGCATTCAGTATATAAACGACTAACACCCCTCCCCCCCCCCGCTGACGTCTCGGATTGTCATAACTAAAAATTGCCGTCCCGGATTTGTCTTTAAAAAATATGGTCACCTTACTGTATTAATCTAATTCCTTTACCACCAGGCTTGTAAGCACGAGTTCCACCGTCGCCTAAAAGTCTACCACGCCTGGAAGGCAAAAAATCGCAAACGCAGCACCATGGACGAAAACGAGAGGGCTCCTCGTTCGATAATGGACGCTGCCAAAACTCCACCGAGGGTTGTCAACAGACCACAAGAAAATGGTGTCGCCAACGGTGTGACTACTCATAGGTACTTTAGAATTCCCTTCATGAGACCAGGACAGGCCAAGAATGGACAAAATGACGGGAAACGCGGTTGGTGGTACGCCCATTTCGATGGGCAGTATGTGGCCAGGCAGATGGAGATACATCCTGAGAAGACTCCTATACTTTTATCGGCAGGTAAAGAGATGATAGAAACTAGTTGATCATTTTTGACCTCCAGTAAAATTTTTAAATTTTTATTTTATAAATGATCATATTTCTATTATCAAGGGACGGATGATATGCAAATGTGTGAATTAAGTTTAGAAGAAACAGGATTAACAAGAAAACGAGGTGCAGAAATTTTGGAACACGAATTCAATCGTGAATGGGAACGCAACGGCGGTAAACCGTATCAGTGTGCAAGCAGCCGACTAAAAAGATGAATGAGTTGTATATATAAGATAAAGTATAAACATATTTAATTTTATTTAAAGAAAGTAAACTAATAGAAAAATCGTTATATTCAACACATATGCTTTTATTACACTGTAGGATAAAAAATTCAAATTATATATATTCTGTATAAAAATATTTATAAAAGTATATATTTATAAATAAAATTATTTTGGTTCGAGATTATAATGATGGAAATTTTAAAATAGGTGAATTTGCTATTTTTAATTTTAAGTTCTTGAAGTCTAAATTGGTTGACATCAAAATTGGAAAAGCCATTTCATGAAATTGAAAAATTATGATTATTTTTTATAATTAACATATAAGAGCAAATTTTTTTGTCAATGGCTTCCTCACAATTGATGATACAATTTTGGCAATTCAACTTTATGTAGTATGTTAGTGGGAATCGTAATTAACTTGATTTTTTTATGATTTTAATGAAACTTTGCATAGTGATAGATGATTTTAAAAATATTTTCATTATTGTTTATAAATATAATATATTCATTTTTGTAGAATCTTCAAATATGAGAATTATATATATTTTACCAATTATTAACATTATTAAAAATTAATCAAATTAGACAACGATTTAGTCGTATTGGAATCCAATTGGACTAAAATGTGAATCATAATGGATTGTTAGTAAGTGAGTAAAAAAATTATTAATTTGATCTCAATATAGTATTATAGGTAATTTTGTTATTTAGACTCAAAATTTATATTATTTAATTAAAACATGAATTCAAATGGGACAACGATTTAATCGTATTGGAATCATATTGGATGGAAATGTGAATATTGTTGGATTGCAGGTAAGTAGAAGAATTATAAGTTGAATTAAATGTAGTATTATAATTATTATAAATAATGTTGTTATTTATACTCATCATTTATATCATTTAATTACAACATAATTGATAATTATTCCTATCTATTTTAACAATTTTTTTTAAGAATTATTATAATAATTGGATGAGGATTTATTCATATTGGAATCCAATTGGATGGGAATGTAAATCATGATGGATTGCAAGTAAGTAGAAAAGACAAGTTTTTTTTTAAAGATGAATAATGATTGTAATATATTTTATACTTTACACTCACAGTTTCTTAATTATTTTTGTTGTAAAAAGAAACTTCAAGTGATTATTAAATTAATTAAAAATATGCGATAGATTTTTTTTTTAATCTGCTATGATTTTTTTTAATTATTAATAGAAGAAAAATAAATATAAATAAAACCAATAATAATATTATTCAAGTTTCAAATAGTATTCTAATGATTTTAATTTTTTTTTTTTTTTTTTTTTGCATACTTTTATTGTCAATCAAAATTAAATACACTTTTTAAGACAATGTGATGTTGGTTTTAATGCATGTAAGAGATTATCTCCTATGAGATATCTCTCTTTTATATTTTTATTTTTGACATTTATTTAAGGTCGAATGGCCATTTTTTTTCAATCTGCGTGTCGGATATTCCTCGCTTAACTCTTTTAAATAAGTGTTTGGGTGACCTGGTAGTTTTTCATGGTATCTTTTGCTCCTTTTTTTTAACATTTCATTAATAGTTTTTATTTTTAAGTCTTTATGTAGGGTGTCATTTGTAACATACCAGGGTGCGTTCACAATGCATCTTAAAATTTTTGATTGCGCTACTTGTATTTTTTTTATATTTGTATTGCTTGCGCATGCCCATAGCTCAATGCCGTATGTCCAGATTGGGATAATTATTGTTTTATATATAAGGAGTTTGTTTTCATAGCACATATTTGAACTCCTGCCAATTAGCCAATACAACTCTTTAAACTTCTTCTCTATCTGTTTTCTTTTCATTTTGATGTGCGTTGACCAGCTTAATTTTCTATCGAGATGAATCCCAAGGTATTTTACACTCTCATATTTCGGTATTTCTATGTTGTTTATTTTTACGCTTGGGCAGTCTAGGGTTCTTGTTGTGAAGGTTATATGGCTAGATTTTGTTTCATTTATTTTAATCTTCCACTTATTGAGCCACTTTTCAAATTCAGAGATATATTGTTGAACTTTTGACGTTGCGACGGATGCATTTGTATGAGTTCCCATGACAACTGTATCATCGGCAAAAGTTCCAATTATGACATTGCTGTCAGTTGGAATGTCGTGTGTATATATGAGGTATAAAAGTGGCCCTAAAACACTCCCTTGTGGAACCCCCGACTTGATGTTACATAATTCTGATGTTTCTGTTCCAACTCTAGTTCTGAATAATCTATTTGTTAAGTAACTTTTCAATAGTAAAAATATCTTGTGCGGCAAAGAATTTTTTATCTTGATGAGTAGGCCCTTTATCAAATGCCTGTTTGACATCGATAAAGATTGCTGAACAATATTCCTTTCTTTCTATTGCCTTTTGGATGCTATTTACTATCCTATGGCATTGTTGTATTGTGGGTTTTTAATTTGACACTCTTTTTTACTTTAATATTTTTTGACTAAATTTTTCTCAAGAAGTATTTGCTATAAAATGTTAAATTTGATCAAAAAGTCCATTACTCAAATTTAGGCATTTTATAAATTATACTCAAATTATTTAATAAATGAATGAATTAAATATGTTTCTATTACAATAGGAGTATTAAATATATGATTTTCCCCAAAAATTTTATTAATTTGGTTGAAAATAAAAATATTTTCCTTGAAGAATATATACAATTTATATATATATATATATATATATATATATATATATATTTATTTATTTTTATTTGTGCAGATACATAGTAATTGCAATATTACAAAAATTATATATGATACTATTATTACATAAACTTTGAGGCCAGTTTTTGTATTATTATTAAGGGCAACTTATTTATTAAAATATTGGCAAAATAATGATACTAGTTAATAATTAAAATTTAATTTAAATAAAATGACGTTTTCTTAAAAACTGAGTTAACGTTTTTGGCACTTTTTGCTCTGTATCTTCAAAATGGCTAGACCTGCCTTCGCCAAAAACTAATCAGCACGTCTCCTTATCAATAGTAATCGAATGTTTTTTGAATTATTCAAATCGGTTGATCGGTGTTCCCGAAATCTTTGACGAAAATTTGTATCCTTACACACACACATACACATACATGCACACACACACATATCCATATTTTCTAAGGTATGCCAAAATGTTCGGAAACCTTTGAAACGTAAAGATATATAAACATTTTCATTTTCGATTTTTTTGCGATTACTATAACTTACCATACGGAAAGTTAATTATTAATTTTATATTGATACATATTGATATATCATAATCTTGCATGCATCTTATGACACAATGTACTAATATATATTTTTCTCTATAAAATCTAATTTATATTTCACGATTTTCTTACATTTGAATTCCAACGGTCTTTTTGCTGGATTCTGATTGGTCGGCCATGTTAGGTTGTTTACGCCTACGGCCGCAACAAGAGACAAGAACGTAAATAGAAAACTCGCCTGTTTGTGGGCGACACTTCTACTTACAAAAAAATAACATTCCTTTCTATGGACTGGAATTAAGTACATATTTATTATTTTCAATTTCATACAACCTTTTCTAACGTTATACAACAATATGTCAACAGAATTTACTTTTATAATTGATACAAATGAATGTGAACAATGATTTCGAAGTCGTGAGATAGAGGATTCAGTAACAGTTGTCAAAATATTATAGTGGACTTAATAAAATAATACATAATGTAATGGAGTGATTGATTTGCAAAGGTTAATTTGGAGCTATTTAATGTATTAAGGACAATGAATAAAATGCCTAACCCACCTGAGGACTTTTCAGGTAATAAATGATAATTTATAATCAAGGTTATGTATGTGTTAATTAAAATTTGAGTATTGCATTCTGCATTATGTGCATTATATAGACATAAATTACATAATTATCTGTCACATTAACAAACTATTTAATTTTATTGAGATGTACTTTTTACTTATTGTTTATTCGACAGTGGCAGATTTGGTTTTTTGAACATTTACTCACTTTGTTGGAAAAAATTTAAAGTGGCAGATAAATCTCATCATCGAAAAGGTTCTTCTTATGATTGTTACATAGTAAGCAATGTGTGCTTCAAATATGTTCAAACAAAATATAATACACATAACCGTTAAATTGTTTTAGTTCTGGAGTTTTCATTGTCTTACATATTCATGTTTTAATTGTCATTGTCAAGCTTTACTTTAATCTATTTTAATATTTGCTTCAATTATAATTTATTCGTTATATGCAGTTATGTACATATTGCTTTTAATCTATATGTTTTATTATACTTGTTTATTTCTTTTAAAATTAACAGTGACATAGAATGCTTTCTTTGTTACTTGTAGCTCAATCATTTGATAATGGTTCACCATCCTCAAAGAGGTTCTTATGATTTTTACATAGTAAGCTATGTATGCTACAATTAATACACATAACCGTTAAAGTATTTTATTCTTGAAGCTTCTATTTTCTTACATATTTATGTCTTGATCTGCGTTTTGTAAGTAATTCATTATTTTAAATTATAGAAAGCATCTTAATACTTAATTTCATTTTTATATTTGCTTCAAATATATTTACAATATATTCACACAATAAAATTTTATGGTATGGATTATATTAATGAATTAATAATTCCTTTTTTTTTGTAGAATATCGGAGTGGCACAGACAGTATAAGCAGCCACAGCGATATTTCTGGAAGCACAGTCCAACCAATTAAACCGAGAATGGATGTCGCTTGTGTGATAGACCTGCATCAGACAGAGAACTTATTTCAGAGAAAAAGTGCTTTCGAAGATGTCAAGAGGGCCTGTTTGTCGGTCAATGCTAATTGCCATCATGTTCAGGTAATAAAAATAACAAAATAAAATTAAAACCTATAAGATAATGTATTGATTGATTTAATAATTAATTATTGTATTGTTTCTTTTATTCTTAGTTTGAGAAGTTGGACTTTGGTGAAACAAATGTGTTGGATTCCTTTTACAATGCTGATGTTGCTGTTGTCGACTTAAGTGTTCAAACACAGCAGAGTTCTATGTTTTACCATTTAGGCGTAAGAGAAAGTTTTGGGATGAAGGAGAATATTTTATTGTATAATGATACTGATAATGATTCAACAATTCGAGTAAAGGTAAAGAAATTTGACTCTTACCAACAATTAATCATTTTGTAACATTTATATTTTATGTGTTTTTGTTATTTTCAATTTTTATTGTTACAGTTATCATGTGGATCATATACAATTTTAACTTATAAAGTATTAGATTGTGGTACATGTGCCATAACGAATCCTGAAGCGATTGCTAAATTCACAGGAGATGATGCGACTGATCAAAGACTGAACCTTTCTTCCAAACTAAAAAGACTTTTGCAAGATGTTGAAGTACAATCCAAGTAAGTAGATACATAATTATCATAATAACATTTATATTGTAATCACTCTATTTTCCTGAAAATTGTACCAATAGTTTCTCCTAATTCTGTATACTATCAACCATTACCTAGTTCATAGCTAACTTCATAGTATTAAGTGCTATCACAGAGCCATCTATTGGCTCTGATGGCCGTTACGTATAAACTTATTACAAGCTTAATATTAGAATATGGAACCTTATTATATTCACACTTCTATTGTAATCACTCTATTTATCTTTTTGAAAATTGTACCAATAGCTTCTCCTAATTCTGTATACTATCAACCATTACATAGTTCATAGCTAACTTCATAGTATTAAGTGCTATCACAGAGCCATCTATTGGCTCTGATGGCCGTTACATATAAACTTATTACAAGCTTAATTTTAAAATATGGGACCTTAATATAATTACACTTCTATTGTAATCACTCTATTTATCTTTTTGATAATTGTATCAATAGCTTCTCCTAATTCTGTATACTATAAACCATTACCTAGTTCATAGCTAACTTCATAGTATTAAGTGCTATCACAGAGCCATCTATTGGCTCTGATGGTCGTTACGTATAAACTTATTACAAGCTTAATATTAAAATATGGGACCTTATTATAATTACACTTCTATTGTAATCACTCTATTTATTTTCTTGAAAATTGTATCAATATCTTTTCCTAATTATGTATTCTATCAACCATTACCAAGTTCATAGCTAACTTCATAGCATTAAGTGCTATTACAGAGCCATCTATTGGCACTGATGACTATTACATATAAACTTATTACAAGCCTAATATTACAATATGGGACCTTATTATAATTGCACTTCTATTGTAATCACTCTATTTATCTTTTTGAAAATTGTACCAATAACTTCTCCTGATTCTGTATACTATCAACCATTACCTAGATCATAGCTAACTTCATAGCATTAAGTGTTATCACAGAGCCATCTATTGGCTATGATGGCTACTACGTATAAACTTACTACAAGCTTAATTTTAAAATATGGGACCTTATTATATTCACACTTCTATTTTAATCACTCTATTTATTTTCTTGAAAATTGTATCAATATCTTATTCTAATTGTGTATTCTAGAAACCATTACCTAGTTCATAGCTAACTTCATAGTATTAAGTGCTATCACAGAGCCATCTATTGGCACTAATGACTATTACATTTAAACTTATTACGAGGTTAATATTAGACTATGGAATCTTATTATATTTACACTTCTATTTTAATCACTCTATTTATTTTCTTGAAAATTGTATCAATATCTTCTCCTAATTCTGTATTCTAGAAACCATTACCTAGTTCATAGCTAACTTCATAGCATTAAGTGCTATTACAGAGCCATCTATTGGCTCTGATGGCTACTACATATAAACTTATTACAAGCTTAATATTAGAATGTGGGACCTTATTATAATTACACTTTTATTGTAATCACTCTATTTATTTTCTTGAAAATTGTATCAATATCTTTTCCTAATTCTGTGTTCTATCCACCATTTCTTATTTCATAGCTAACTTCACAGCATGCCGTGCTATCCCAGAGCCATCTATTGGCACTGATGCTCATTGCATTATGTGCTGTTCCAGAGCCATCTATTGGCACTGATGCTCATTACATTCAAATTTACTACTAACTTCATATTAGAATATATTGTAATATAACATCTACTTAAATTTTATTGTAGAGCTCACTTGAAAGAAAAATTTCTATCCGACCTGAGAAAAGCAAGAGAGCAATATTCAGGTGCTGAATTATCACGAAAATTAAATAATATGCGCAAGAGGCTGGACGATCCGAATGTATTATGTGGAGAAGTTGTATTAAATATGTTGATATCATTTCGTGAAATTCAAGATTATGATGCCATGGTGCAATTGGTCGATGATATTAAGACTATACCGAATAAGAAAGATTATACTTTGAAACCTGCTGTGTGTTATCTGTATTCTTTCGCTTTGAATAGGTGAGTTATTAGTAATATTACAATAAAACAATATCAGATTATATAAATAAAAGTAAGTATATTTACTGAAAGCACTCATTAAATGTAATATTTTAGTCTTACCCTCTTATACTTTTTTTTTAATTTCAATAAGTATTACAACTGTTTAACATCTAGTAATATTGATAAATAATAACATAAATTTAAATAAATAAAAGTGCAAAGGATAAAATTTACATGAAAATAATATCCGTAATATGATTTAATATAAAATATATAAGCAAATAATAATGAAAATAAAATTAATAAATGATATAAATAAAATTTCTGAATAATAAAATAATACTAGAAAAATAATAAAATATAACAAAATAATAATAATAGAAATAGTAAGATAATAATAATAATAATAATAATAATAATAATAATGTTAGCGTTTACAAATTTATGAGACCATTGGGAATTTTTCGTTTTAGTCTTGTTGGGCGTTCTATTGATATAACATTAATTTTTATAATTTATTTCATTTATTTATTTATTTAACACCCATGGCAATAATTTATTATTCAATAATTTATATTTTGATCAAATATAAGAGAGTCATTTTTGAAAGGAGGATAATAATTTCAATTTTATAATTAAAGAACAAAAGAAATAAAAGTAATTTATTTATTACAATGTTTAGAAACTGGTTAATTTAATTTGTATAATTTTGTACCTTTTATTTTGTTATTTGTTAATGTGTTATGCTTTATTTTTATTTCAGGCGAAACAAAGAAGGTGATAGAGAAAACGCTCTAAAAGTTTGCGTCTCGGTGCTGGACAAAAAGGAGTATCAATTTCCTGATATGCTTTGTTTGTGTGGAAGAATATATAAAGATAAATTTGTTGAATCTAGCCATACCGATACAGATAGCTTGAAAAATGCTATCAAATGGTAATAAAATATACCATAAATATATAAAGGATATAATAGATTCTTTTATAAAATTTTAATTCAGTTGTAAATTCATAGGTATAGAAAAGGCTTTGAAGTTCAGCCTAATGAATATGCAGGGATTAATTTAGCTACACTTTTAGTTATTGATGGATGTGAATTTTTAAAGTCGGATGAATTACGAAGGATAGGTGAGTGATACGAGACAGCTTTATCAAATTAGTTAATTAAAATTTTTGATACAATTTTTTACATCCTAACTCTACTTTTGCTATATTTTTCTCTTTTCCAGGCATGGTTTTAAACAATCTCATTGGCAAAAAGGGCAGTTTAGCGTCTCTTGAAGATTACTGGGATGTTGCCACATTTTTTGAGATTTCTGTTCTAGCCGAAGATTATACAAAAGCAATTCAAGCAGCAGAATGCATGTTCAAACTGAAACCACCGAATTGGTATTTAAAATCCACCATTGGCAACATTAGACTGATCGATAGATTTCGGAGGAAAGACGAAGATGCTAAGGAGTCTCATGAGGAAAAAATCTTCAAATTTTGGATCGATTTTTTTGTAGAAGCCATTGAACCTACTGCTGATAGTATCAGATTTCCGGTAAGGGATAATAGATTCATGTAATAAAATTCATTTAAATTAAAGTTGAATTAAATTTTATTATTTTTCTATTATAGTTGGTGATTCTCGAGCCGACCAAAATTATAATGCCGAGTTATATTAATGTTAACTTAGGTGCAGAGGAAAAATCTTTGCAAATTTGGAATTATTGTTTGGACGCAATGAAAGGAAATTGCAGACAAGTGCATGAATGGCTTTTTACAGCGAATTCTATACGCAGCGTCAGGTAATTTAATGTAACTAACTTCTTAATATTTACAGATTTTGTAACTTTTATTTTTTTAAATTTTAGCTTGTACAAACGCGATGAAAGATGTATATTCTTATACGTAAAACAGAATTGTGACGATTTTCAAATCTATCTGCCGTCAGCGCAATGTAGAGAAAGATTTTACGATTTAATTTTACAAATGACTGAGGGAATTATACAAACGCCCCTGGATTCAGATTTGAGCACTGATCAAATTAAGGTAAGTTTAAATTTATTTTTGTTTACTATATATCTAAATATATATTATTTTTATTTATTTTAGTATGAATACGAAATGGACGATCAAGGCAAAAGGATAATGTTAGGCAAAGGTACTTACGGTGTAGTTTATGCAGCAAGAGATTTGAACACCCAAGTTCGTATTGCTGTTAAAGAAATTCCTGAAAAGAATCTCGGAGATGTTCAACCTTTGCATGAAGAGATCAAATTGCATTCTCAATTGAGGCATAGAAATATTGTTCAGGTAATGATAAAAATTATTATAATTCATATTTTTCAATAGTAAAGAATAAATTTTTGATCTTGATTATAATTTTATTCTAGTATTTGGGTTCAATCTCAGAAGACAATTATTTTAAAATTTTTATGGAACAAGTACCTGGAGGTTCTTTGTCTGCTTTGCTCGGTTCGAAATGGGGTTCCTTGAAGAAAAACGAATCGACAATTGCTTATTACACTAGGCAAATATTAGAAGGTAAATTAGAACAATCACAATTAACAAATGAACAATTACAACTAAAATCGAAAAATATCAACACAACACTTAATTTTAATGCTAGTATTTGTATTTTTTTTATATATATATTTAGAGTTAAGTTATTTTGATTTTTTTATTTTATTTATATTTTTAGGTTTGAAGTATCTCCATGACCAAAAAATTGTACACAGGGATATTAAAGGAGACAACGTTCTCGTTAACACATACAGTGGTGTAATTAAAATAGGTGATTTCGGTACATCAAAAAGATTGGCTGGTATTTGTAAGTCTACGAAAACATTTACTGGAACTCTTCAATATATGGCTCCTGAGGTTATTGATAAAGGGCAGCGTGGATATGGTGCTCCTGTGAGTAATAATTGAATAGTTATCTTCAATTGTATATATTTTATAATCAAATAAAAATCACTTTATATTTTTGATATGTAAAATACTGTATTAAAATTTAGGTTGATAATATTTTTTGTATTTCTCCTTTAGGCTGATATTTGGTCCCTTGGTTGTACGGTAGTTGAAATGGCTACAGGAAAACCACCATTCATAGAACTCGGTTCACCTCAAGCTGCTCTTTTTAAGGTGACAAATAATTAAATATTTTACATGAACTATATTTTTATTAATATTTTGTTTGTTATTTCAATTTTCTAACAAGATCGTGATGTATTATATTATCAAATTAATAATTTTTTAGGTTGGTTTTTATAAAACACATCCAGAAATACCAGCCGAGTTATCTGAAAGAGCTAAAAAGTTCATTTTACGATGTTTTGAACCTGATCCAGATAAAAGAGCAACGGCTATGGAACTTTTAGAAGATCCTTTCTTAAATGAGTGAGTGAATATTTTATTATTATGCTTTTATTATAACAGTTTTCCTAAGATGAAAATATGCAGATGAGAGAAAAATATAGTTTGTCACTTGTATAATTTAATAATATAATCTCATATTTAATCTTCTTTAATATAAAAGATTAAACATTCAATAATTTCAATAATATAAAAATCATATTTATAAATTGTTTGATGAAGTAAATTTTACAAAAGCATTATTTTAGAAAAATCTGCATTATTTATATTTTAACTTCAAAATAGTTAGAATAAAAATAAATTTGTATTGAACAAATGGTTGTTAGGTAAAGAATAGTATTTTTATTTAATTTTAATATCTTAAGCAGTTACTTATAAATCTATTATTCTTTTCTTGTCAATTTTAGAAAGAAGAAAAACAGATTAGGGCCATCAAGCGAATTAAATAGAAGCATCTCAGTTCCAGCAGATAAAATTTTGAAACAAAATTCATCGCCTCAGTACACACCGAGTTGCAATACTCCAACGACACCAGAAATTGAGTAAGTTTTTTTTAAAAAAATAAGACTAATTCATATTAATTTTAGAAATTTCACAAAATTCATGTTTTTGCAATTCTATGTAGATAGCAATCATGCTTTATAATAAATCATTTAGAGTAGTTTGCTTGTAAATAGGCTTTGGTCTTTAGAATTTGTTGTTAATTCATTGCATAATTTTCATTTTTTTAAACCATAACTATAAAAAATGTTATACATAACGACGTCTTGCTTTTTTTATTTATAATTTGAACTAATTACGTGGATTTTATACTCAAGTTTTTAACAAAAAAAGATTTATGTTTTTAATATTCTTAATTTATCATTTTATACTAAGATTGATTTGTTTTTAAGATAATTATTATGCTAATAACTTAAATATAGGGGTCAATACTTATCTTTATATCTTGGTACTAAAAACTGTGAAAAACAGGCTTAAATGAAATGAAATAAGATATCGTTGCCATAACGCTTTAAATTGGCCCCATAATTTAATAAAAACTTTGATATTTAATTAATAACAACAAGTTAGCGAAAAGCACTTTACTAAAACCATTATATTAAATCTACTTTAATTAATATTAAAAGTTGTAAATAATGTTGTGTTTGTTCTGATATTTTATTAAACAAACAAAAATTTTAAAGGTTCTAGTTGATATTTGTTTTCTATTTTTAATATTAAGCAATTTATAATTTTGCCAAAAGTTTTGGATCATGATTTTCTTTCTTTCTTTTTTTATTTTTTAATTTAATTTGTTTTTTTTTTCTTTTTTATTTTTTGTTTTTTATTATTTTTTTTTTTTTTAATTCTTTATTTTTTTTAATATGTTTTTATTTTTCCTTTTTTTTTTTTTCTTTGTTTTTTTTATTCTTTCTTTTTTTTGTTTTATATTATTTTTTTTTCTTTTTAGTTATTTTATCTTTTCTTTTTTTCTTTTTTTATTTTTTTTTTATTTTTTGAAAAATAATGGATCCTATTCAACAATCATTTCATTTTATACATTTATACATGGGGTAGTTTTTATGTTTCCTCATGGATAATTTTTCGTTCTATTATGGAGAAAACAATATCGACCAGTGTACCACTATCATTGTTTTAAGTTGTTTTGTTGCTTATTTGTGTATGTTTTGTTTTTTCTGCTACTTCTGAGCAGTTTTGCAACAACCAGATCGAATCCTGACACCACAGTCAGATCGGCAGTCTTACTCACACCAATATCAATGCCTGCCACTGTCACTTATAGCAGGTAATATTAAATGAGGAATAAAAATTGAATTTTTGATTCAAAACTCATTTTAGTAGGAAGGCTGGTATATTAATATAGATTTATGATTATCATATCGTAGATTTTTAGTTCAATTAGTGTATCGAGGTCTTTATAATCCTTTGAACAATAAATTGGGATTTTTTTTTTAATTTCATATAGGTATATGTTTTATTTAAAAATTACAATTAGAGATTTTGTAGAAAATTTCACATTTCTTAATATACACATTTTATTTTTTTTAGATTGCATTTTATTTAATAAGTTCCATTACATAATAGTTCTTATTATTTATTTAGTATAATAATATTTATTGTTTTACCGTAGGGTAAGTTTAGTTATAGTAATCGCAAAAAAATAGAAAATGAAAATTTTCATATATCTTTACGGTATGTGTGTGTGTCTGTGTGTGTTCGGATACAAATTTTCGTCGACGATTTCGGGAGCACGATAAGGAGACGTGCTGATTAGTTTTTCTATCCGTTAGACTGCGATACGACGCTTACGCGCTTCGATATTTCTTCGAGATTGCTTTGAAAAAAAGTTCAAAATTTTCAGAAAAATTCAAAGTATAAAAAAATTTTAGATATAAAAAACATTCAAATTTTTCAAGAAGGTTAAGTATTTCTCAAAAAATCTCAATTTCAAAGTTTTCAAAAAAATTTAAAGGTTTTTTAAAAAAATTAATATTTGGTACGGGAAGTTCAAATTTAAAAAATTTAAGTTTTTAAAAAAAGTCAAATATTGTCAAAAATTTAAAAATTCTCAAAAATCTTAATTTCAAAGTTTTGAAAGAATTTTAAAGGTTTTCTAAAAATTTTAAAAATTTTCATATTTGGTACGGCAAGTTCAAAAGTTCAAATTATTCAAAAAAGTCAAATATTTTCAAAAATTTTAAAATTCTCAAAAATATCAATTTCAAAGTTTTCAAAAAATTTTAAAGGTTTTTTAAAAATTATGAAAGTTTTTTAATATTTGGTACGGAAAGTTTCAGCAATTTATCTCAAATCCGCGATGCCATGCACCATTAGTGTTAAATATCTTCGAAGATAATATACGAGGTCTGTTCAAAAAGTACCCGGAATTTTCGTTTTTTCAAAAAAATATTTATTTATTTGTCTACATTAATGTGGTCCCCTTCAAAGTAGTCCCCCCCAGATATAATACACTTATGCCAGCGTTTTTTCCAATTTTCGAAGCACCCTTGATATTCACTTTTTGATATGTCCTTGAGCACTCTCAGCGATTTTCTTCAATCGAGGAAAACCGCCGTCCTTTCATGGGTCTCTTCAACTTTGGGAATAGGAAAAAGTCACACGGAGCCATATCTGGTGAATTTTTGCACTTTGCAACACTTTATTTCATTTTTTACGCAAAATTTAATACAAATTCTTTGACTTTTCAATTCTTCCATTGTAAAAATCGCCGAGCTCAGAAAAACACGTCGAACCTTAGCGACTACCACAGACAAAGTAAACAGTGAATATAGCTGAAAATTTCATCATACTTTAGGGGCATGTATACCAACACAATAAAAAAAAAAATTTGACAATCAGACACTCCAGACCCGCGAAATTTAATTATTAGTAATTCCGGGTACTTTTTGAACACACCTCGTAGTTTCAGCAAAATAATGAGAACTTTTAAAATTGTTTTTTTTTTATTTCAAACTAATTTTGGTCTAAAAAATCTTACATGTAATACAATTTTTTTATCTGTTAATCTAAGCATTTTTGTTGGGCTTTATTACATTTAGATTAAACTCATCTAATCCCTTTGTTCGATATCTAATTAATAATATAAAAATAATTTTAGCGTGATGAGCACACCATCAATAGAGATAGACTTAGAAAATGATACAGTTGATAGTACGAATGCCCGAAGGAGTTCATCAGGAGCTCTGCTCTCTCCAGAAGTATGTACAATTAGAAAGTGAATTATATAAATCACATCAGACATAATTAAATAAGATAAGTTATTCTAAAAATTTATTTTTTTCAGGTTGAGTTAGGTTCAGGACGAAGCTCATCATCCGGTGCACCAGGCTTGGGCGAAGCACAAGAACAAGATGGGTTTTATATGCTGAAGAAGGATTCTCAAAGACGAACTACATTGACCGGTATTTTAAGAAACGATGAAGCAAAAATATGTGACGAATGGTACATCAGGATTAAAAAAGACAGACCTGATACTGTACTAAAATTGGTCAGTATAACTAACAGATAATATAATTTTTCGTGCTGTTTTTTTAATAATTAATATTTTTTATTATCTTTACAGTCGCATTTAGAGCTTCTAGTTCGTTGCTTGCGTTCTTTCATCATGGACCAAAATCGAGAAGTTATCGAAACAACAATGACCAAGTTGAAGGAAGATCTCGATTACGACGCCACTGCAATTAATCAATTGCAATTGTCGATTTATTTGTTTCAAGAATCCGTGAATGAAGTTTTGCGGTCTTTGAGTATCAAACCTCATTGGATGTTCGCTCTGGATAATTTAGTTAGAACGGCGGTGCAGGAAGCTATCACCGTTTTATTGCCAGGTAACAATTATAATAAATAAATAAATATTTATATATATATATATATACGAGATATATATATATATACTAGCTGACCCGGTAAGCGTTGTTTAGCCCTAAAAAATTTACCCACTGCAACGCATTTCTTGTATAAATATCCTTGGGGTTTATTAATAATTATTGCAAATGCTGCCTTATCTGAAACTGATCATATTTAAATTGAACTACCGCGCTTTTTAATAATTCATTAATTTTACGAAGCAAAATCTAAGCATCTGAACATTTTTGATGGTACAATCCTGTGAATCAGATTATACAAGATTTGGTCGATAATTTGAATTTGATCTGTTGTCAATATCTAAGAATTGTTTTGAAAACGTTTGAGTGGATAAATTTTTGGTTTTCAAAATTTTTATCAAAATACTATTACAAACTTTATGACTTCGCCATTTAAAAATTTTATTTTGTACCAGTACAATGAAATTACGATTAGTAGATAATAATGAAAAATATTTTATTAAATTTATTTATTAATGGGACTATATGAAACAAAATTCCCGATTTTTTTAGGATATTTTATCATTGAAACTTTTTTTTTCGAGATATTGATTCACTCTAAACTTAACATTCTTTATTCCATTAGAATTGGGTGCAAATTTAGCCGAACACGAAGATTTAAATTCAGGCATCAGCACTGTAAACTCTGTAAAATCGAGCAAAACTGTAGATGCTTTCACTGATAGAAAATATAAAGTTCTTTGTCAGGAGCAGGATGAAGAAAATACAAGGTAAATTTTATTGGTTACGATTATATACAGTTATTAATAAAATTGTACAAAATTTATATTATTTTCCATAATTTCTCATATTTTTTATCTCAATTATTTTATCTTAGCTACATAACTCATAAATATTTTATTCTAGATTATTGCAAGAGCTGTTAGAGTGTAAAAGAAATTATGGAATTTTGCTAAAACAGGGTATAGCTGAAATGAAACTACAAACACAGCTTCTGCAGCAGGATGTCGAGCACATTAGTATCAGTGGACCAAATATTAGAAGGAGTCACTCACAGGGGTACGAGGGATTTAAAACGGATTTTTTAATTGATATATTTATTATTAATAATTATTTTGATCATTTTTTCTGTAAATAAATTATGAATCATCACTCGATATTTAATTTGTGTTTTTTTATCAGATATGAGAGTATGGTGTCAGATTCTTCATCAGGAGTCCCTCACATAAGCATAACACCAGACGCTCTGCCCGAATCAAAAATTGGAGATTGGTTACGGACTATAGGAGTTGATTTTCATCTAGCAGAGCGATTTTTGTGTGAAGATTATACTTTAGATGATGTTTTGCATCATATGGGACGATGTGATCTCAGGAGGCTAAATCTCAAGTAATATCATATATCAAAATATCGAGATTCAATTATAAAATATCAGCAGCTTTTTCACCTTTGTTTTATCATTTTAGGGGAGGTGTTGAACTACGAATTTGGCGAGCAATACAGGATCACCGCCAAAACAGTCGTGATCCTGTACCTGCGCCGCCTATCAGGTTGTCCAGGTTGAACTCACAAACTAACAATCAACCTGGTAAAGTCAGGCACATGCCATATGCGGCAAATTGCCATTGTGAGACTTGTGTGAACCAGAATGGTGTAAACGGAGAAGATAATGAGGATGTCTTATGACAAGATGATGGAATTTTTTCAACGTGGTGTCAATTGCTGTGAAATAAAGAGTCTGTTTATATTTACTGGGGATACTTAAATATGCAGATACTAAAGGTGAGTTGAATTAATCTCGAATTTAAATCAAAATCAATATTTTGATGGTAATATGTACGTAGAGTTTCAATCGCTGCGTGTAATTTCTTTAAAAGTATTTTTATGCTAACTAAAATTATAGTTTAGAAACTAGACTTGCATAAAATCTCTTCATACTATTGTACAAATTCTTAATGTTTTATTTATTTTATAAAATTCATAAAACAATATACAAAAACTACTCAAATTTTCAACCAGTGAAATAAAACATTTATTCTGTAAATTAAATAGCAATTATGTAATATATAAAATTAAATAGTTTATTGACTATCATCAATATTGGCCATATATCATGACGTAATGAATGTTCATCATCATAATAAAGAATATTCTTTGTTAAATGAGTCCTTGTATTGTTAAATAGTATGTGAAATGAATAATGAATGATTGAAAGTGTGTGAAATATAAGTAAAGCAATGTCTTTTGTTAAAATCGCTTTAAAATTTGTTTCAAAAACTTTTATTAATAAATATTTGCTGATATACGTATTGATTTGATGTATTCACATTGGATTTACTATCTTAAATTAGCTATATTTTAAATATAGTTAATTTATAATAGTAAATCTTTCCAATATCTAAATTTACAATTTCTAAATAGTTAAACTTTCAAATATTGTGCGTGAGTTTGTTCATAGTTAATTTTTACCATATATAAATACTTTAAATAATGTTAAACTAAAAATCAAGTTTATATTTGGTGAAATTTCATACAAAAGTTATTTTGATCAGTAAATATAAATTTATTATATATGAGCTTTAAAATACGTATTTAAATATAGTCGTACTACAATTTCTTTTGAATAAAAACTAAACAAAATTAACTACTTCTAATAATAATAGTGCATTAATTATTTTTATTGTGCGAATAAGTCAGAGCTTAAAAAAAGTACAAATCGTTCACAAAGTCACACACACACATATATATATATATATATATATACGTTGAAGGTGTTTAAATTTGATGTTGAAATGTATGATTAATTTTTTGAAGGGCGTAACATTAAGTAAAAAATAAATAAAGTAAAGATTTTTAAAGCATTTTCATTGTTTCATATTTTTCGAAATAAAATTTTACGTCATCGTCAGTGGTTCGACAATTTTGAAAAAAAAAAACAGAAAAAGTAACGTTAAAAACTAAATATAAACAGGGTAAGAATAAAAAAGAGAGAGATTTAACTAAATAGACAGACTAATAATATCTAAATCTTAACACTTATACTTATAAATAATAAATAAGTTTAATTTTTTTGAACTTTGTAAACATTCTTTTAGATACTGTAAAGAATTTCAAAAAGGGTTGCAGAATGATGACACACAACCGTGTCGAAACGTATAAATAAATTATTTGTTATTGATTTGTTTTTTTTTATTTTGACGATTGGCTGAAAATCAACTTTCAAGAATATGTTTCAACATCAAACAAAAAAATCTAAAATTAATATATATATATATATATATATATATATATATATATATATATATATATATATTAATGCAACTTTTATCATTAAAATGAATATTTATGCTCAGAGTCAGTACAAAATGTGTAATTGCATATAAGAGTCTTCCCAAGACTAATATCTTGTTAAAAAAAATAAAATATAGTACCTTATTAAGATGCCTTTAAACTCAAACAGATTAAATATAGATATATTTTATAAAATACTATATCATAAGCACAATATATATTTTATATGAATCAGTCTGTTGTAAAAGTGATAAACGTAAAAGTTATTATCTACAAGTTATTATTATTAGATTCAAATCATATAAAATCAATATATTTGCAAGTTTTATTTAGACCTAAAGAAATGTTTTGTAAGTGAAAATAGTATTGAGTACAACTTATTACTTATAGTTATAAAATATTACAATATTGTTAGTTGTGTTATTTTATAGTTTATTTCAATAACAACTAAAACTGTTGTTTTAATACATCTAGCTCTTTTCGTGTGATGATATTAAAACAAATTTATTACTAATAATTAATCTCTAAATATAGATTATATTATATTAGAATTATGGAGTTTAATATTTAAGATTTTCAAAAATTATCTCTCGATGATTTTGAAATGCTCTAACAAAAATGAACTGATCATAAATTCTAAAAGTATTTTTTGTTTTGTTTTGACTGTTGTGTGATATATATTTTAGATGTTTATGAAAATGTATGATTATGCAAATATTTTGCAAACCTATATGTTTTTAAAGTTGACTGTTTTTCTTTGAGTATATAATACAAGCATTTAACCGAAGTAATGTATTTTTATTGAAAAGATTGTGAGATTCTTTCAGTTTTAAAAATATGTTGCAGATAAGATAATAAGAGTAAATATTTGAAAATCAATTATTAACTAGTGGTGCATGGCACCATGTCTTAAGGCAAATTGCTGGAACTTTCCGTTTTGTAATAAAATATTTGAAGAATATTAAATGTTTTCATATGTGTTATGATGAATACTGTAACTTTCATTAATAGAATAGCTTATAAAATGAATGATTACGTTTATAAAGGTTTACATGAAAAGTGAATAAGCCAAACTATCCTTGCATTTAAATATTTTAGGATTAAAATAATGGTGTTCGATTTATTTTTTATTTAAAATTGGGCGCGCACCCTTAGACTTTTTTTTCTTTATGTTATCAACCTGATCTGTCAAATTTTAGTTCATCAATTAAAGTGAAGTTTGCACAACGTGCTTTGTTGAGGTTAAGACAAGTCTAGAATAACGATTCAGGAAAAGTATTATTATCGAATAGTTCATTCTATTTTAATATAGTGCAGTAGTGTAGTGTTTTATTTAATTCCATGTGGTTTGTTGTGAAATATAATCATTTTATTTTAATGTGTGAATTATGAGAAGAATTGGATGCATAACACATGACAACAAATGCGGATGTCTCAGGTTAGTGAATACAAATATATGTATATATGTCTTTTTATACAGGCCTTAATTTGTTTCTTTTGGTTGAAAAATGTCTACCAGCATGTAAATTTTATAAAACGTAGGTATACGTGATTTTTATGGTGTAAACGTAGATACTTTATGATTAATGAACATTATGTGAAATATCCGAAATGGCTGCCTCATTTTGTACAAATATTATAAAAATAGTATTAACAGGTTTGCGGACAGTAAAAGTTTTCAGCAAGGTAAAAAATTTACCGTCATTTTATTTTTAGATAGTTGTGTTCGAAATTTGATTAAACACTTTTTATAAGGTCAATCAGATTATCATATTTTAATCGTTGTATACTAGATGAATGCTATAGCATCCACGTCAAGTTTTACGCTTGTATTTTACGCAATGTACTTGCCCATGGTATTTAGTGACTACGGAAAATAATAGGATAATTCGAAAATACTAATATCATATTTTATTCGTTATATACTAGATGAATGCTATAGCATCTACGTCAAGTTTTACATTTGTATTTTACGCACTGTACTTGCCCATCGTATTTAGTGACTACGGGAAAAGATAAGATAATACAAAAATACTATTATCATAATTTGACCGTTATATACTAGATGAATGCTATAGCATCCACATCAAGTTTTACGCTTGTATTTTACGCAATGTATTTGCCCATATGGTATTTAGTGACTACGAAGAGGTAAGGTATTACGAGAATACCTAAAGAATCAGTCATTAAAAGTTATGTGAAATTATATCCAAAATAATTTGACTTTAAAATTTGAATGCTATGGCATTCACAGCCGCGAAAGCGTTAACTTCTCTTCAGAATCGAATTGGAGTTAAATTCATTTATTAAGCCCTGAAATGAAACGCGATATTTAAAGTTACAAAATAAATTTTATTGTGACATAATAATATCTTATAAATAAAATAGTACAAGATTACATAATATATATTACAACAATACAAGCTTATTTATTCTTAACAAGCACTTAACACTTAAAGACTATCTTTTGCAAACTATAAAACTAAACATAATTATAAATATACAACTTTATATATACAGACTTACACATGGCATTCTTATCAAATATATCATAATTATAAAAAAATATCATAGAATTAAATTATTACATTAAGTAAATAATGCCTTTTTATAACAACTCTGTTATTTACTGTGTGCCACTCAATAATTATAATTAATAATTATAATAATATTTTATCAGCAATTTTTCATATTGACTTTTTTAGGCACAAATATTGATTAATTAATATAAAAGTGATTATAATTTATAAAGTGTATTTACAACATCTTAAAATCTAAATGGTAATACGTATATAATAATCAAATGCAAAAATCTTTTGGAGATGATGTCAGAAAAAAATATATTATAGAAGATACAAAATTTAGATGAAGACTTTTAATAGGCATTGATAATTTTGCATTGTAAAAAATATACTTCAAATAAAGTTTGAGTAAATGTTTTTTAGAATTTTTTGTATGTATATAAATTTAACAAAAATGAACAAGCAAAGTATCTGTTTGTTTTAATTTCATATTTTCTTCATCAATATTGGATTTATAAAATTTCCTTTAGCAAATAATGATTTTAAGTGACATCATCTCATATTATACATTAACAAAACATTTTGTTAGTATTTATTTATCTTTTTGGAAAAGACATATTTTTCACCTAATGTTCAAACATAATTTATACAGATATCTAGACAAAAATTCTAAAAATTTGAATTTACTTTGATTTATTATTAGAAAATAATAAAGGTAAAATAAAAGGTAATATACATTTTAGTCGAATACGTTTGAGGCAGTGTAGATTTTATAAAAAGTTCAAAAAACTTACATTGTTTTATCTTTAAATTTGAGATATCTTAAATTAAGGTCTTTTCAATAATAAAAAAAAATATATTCGATGATTTCACACCACAAATTTCCATTAAAACTAATTTTACTAGTCAAAATGATTTAAAAAAATATTGGCTATTTAAGTACAATTTATTAAAACATTCTCACTATCGCCAAGGTTTTTTTTGAATTTAATTCATTTATAGTAAAACCCCGCTAAGACGATTTTTCAGAAACCAGACCAAAAATTTTCAATACTCCGGGAAATTATATTAAAAACAATCGTCTTAACGGGATTATACAGTATCCTTTTTTTTTACTCAACTTAAATCTTTGAGACTCAAATATTTAGGGGCCAATTTTCAGTATAAAATAGTTAAATCTATGTTTCAAAATGCACTGCAAAAGACCGGCAAAAGCGTATTAAGCCAGAAATTATATTAAACACGATCGTCTTAACGGGGTTCTACGGTATCATTTTTACTTAACACAACTTTAAACTTTGAAGCTCAAATATTTATGGACCAATTTTTGGTATAAAATATTTAAAACAACGTTTTAAGCGGGAAATTATATCGGCAATAATCGTCTTAACGGGGTTCTACATTATTTCTTTTACTTTCTTTAACTTAAATCTTTGAGACTCGAATATTTAGGGGTCAATTTGCGGTAAAAAATAGTTAAATCTATGTCCTTACGCGTTTTACACATGAAACCTAACCTCCAAATGGCACCAACGTCAGAAAATTAATTTTAGTTCGACTTCAGGCATGTGCTATCAAAGTGACAACAGAAAGTCGCATTTATGATAACATTGTTATTTGATATTTGTTACATTTGGAGGTTAGTTTTTAGGTAGAAAATGCTCGATCGAACAGCAAAGACATAGATAGAAAATTCGTCAGAAATAGCAAAGACAATAGTTTCTTAATACTACTCATTTGATTAAAGTTGAATTTTCCTGAAATATGTCCATATCTAGGGGCCAATTTTAGGGATAAAATAGTTACAGCTATGTCTTTACTCGTTTTACACATAAAAGCTAACCTTCAAATGGCACCAACGTCAGAAAATTAATTTTAGTTTGCCTTCATACATGTGTTATCGAAGTGAAAACAGAAAGTCGCACTTATGATAACATTGTTATTTGTCATTTGCGCCATTTGGAGGTTAGTTTTTATGTGGAAAACGCTGAATCGAACACCAAAGACATAGATTTTGACAGAAGAGAATTGTCAATTTTCGGGATAAAATAGCTAAAATAGCAAAATCTATCTTTACGTGTTTTACGCTTAAAACCAAACCTCCAAATGGCACCAATATCAGAAAACTAATTTTAGTTCGCCTTCACACATGTTGTCAAAGTGACACCAGAAGGTTGTACTTATGATAACATTGTTATTTGTCATTTGTGCCACTTGGAAGTTAGTTTTTATGTGGAAAACTCTGGATCGAACACTAAAGACATAGCTTTTGAGGGTAGAAAGTTGGCCACTCCAATAGTTATAAAACTGATCACGTTTTTGTCAGAAAAAACAAAAAAAAAAACAGTTTCTTAATACCACTCAATTGATAAAAGTTAACTTGGTACTTTTTTAAAAATTTAATTATCACCTCATCCATTTGACTTCTATCCATCTATTATCAATTATCCTATAAATGGTGACAAATCAGGCAACTTGAATCCTTGGAAGTTGATCGGTGCGAATTGTCTCTGGTTTCTCGGATGTCTTGGAGCTGGTGGAACCAGTCCAGGTATCTGCACCTGTCTCAAATTATTCTGACTCCTTCCTGGTTGGAAATTGTTATTTCTGCTAGGCGTTGAAGCCAAAACTAAACCGCATTGGGCACTGCAAACGTCATCGGCCAGGATTTGTTCGCGGCTCCATTCTCTCGCCAATTGGGCGCAGTCGGTGATTCGGAGGGAAGCACATTGAGCCTAGGGGGTAAAGGATATATGGTATTATATAGGGTTAAATAAATATGTTTTTTTGTTTTTTTTTTAACTTACCCCTTCGTTGGAACAAACACATGATGTACAAGGCGACGGGAATGCTGATTCTCCCAAACCAATTGTTCTTCCAGCAATTTGGCAGCTGTGGCCAACGTTGTCTCGCCAAAATGCCAAGTTGATTTGTTGCATTGAATTGCATGGTACACGAGGGTTTCTGCAATTTAAAAATCAAAACATTAGATTATTATGTATGAAAAAATTATTGTCTTAAAAATATTTCATAACTAGCTGACCCGGTAACCGTTGTTTTGCTAAGTAAGGTATATTCTAAACAATTTCTAGAGAAATATATAAACGAATTCTAGAGAATATCTAGAGCAAATATAAACTATATTGTGATCACCATAACAATTATATCACGCCAACTACTTCATCATTGTAGAAATGTGCTTTTTTGATGTCTTTCAAAAATTTGTTATCTATACCTTTTCACCCTATAGATGGGTGTCTTGAAACGGCCAGGTGGCAAACAGGTTTAATGTCTTATTTTAATTTTAAAGGTATTTTACAAAATAATTACATTTTTAACTAATGCTAAAAAACTACCAACAGAAGAAAATACTTTTATTATGGATTTTCAAAGATTACCGTTTATCTACCGATAGCAAAGTCATAAGAATCAAGGTTATAGCTGGTTCTACATCTTTTTCCCTCTACTTTCAAATATTGTTGTTAATGAGTGTATAATTATACAAATGAGATCTTTCAGAGCACCGTGTTTGAGAAAAATATGATTTGCAAAAAAAGAGTGCTACAACGCCAAAAACTGCATTTTCATATTAACATTTCAAAAAAGTTGATATTTTGAGTTTCTAATAACACTTGCGATCCGTGTAATAACGTTTTTGTGTATAAATATAACTACGAACAAAACTATTTACTACAATTTAATCATAATTAAATAATATTCGCGTAATACATCCTATTAAACGTAATTGAACATCATCTGTAAAAACTATTGGACATTTGACGTATTAGCTACCACCGTCCATTGTTTTATTCAAATTACGCTTCTACAAAAATGTTTAAATTAAAAATGTTAAGGTTTTACGCGATTTTGAAATAATATCTCACCTTTCCGACAATCTCTGGATTGGCACAAATTTTGCAAGACTAAGACTGGCCAAATCGGTTTAGCCGTTTTCGAGTTTTAGCGGATCATTTTATCGAGAGCTCCATTTTTATATATAAGGTGAACGTTTGCTTCTTGAAAATTTCGTAAACTTTTTTTTGAAGATTACTAGATCGATGGGTGAATTTTTAGGGTTGATGATAATAATAGCAATGTGCAAAGTTTTTCAAGAAAAAATCATGGCTGTGGAATTATTTACTTACAAGAAGTTGCTGGGTAAATCAAAAGCAGCCCTTTGCATATCGCCAGGAACATCCATGTTCTCACAAAGAATCTTTGATAATGTCGTTTTCCTAATTTCTGCCAATTGAGCTTCACTAAATCTTACAACTGGATCTTCGTTTTCGTACCTAAAAATGTAAAAAATCTCTTATTCAAAAATACCTTTGGCTAACAAAAATTGAAATTTCAATTAAATGTGGACGAAATATTCTGATGGTTGATGGTATTTTTAACTCACCAAAATCTGTCGCATTTTCTCAACTGTCTAAATTGTATGGCGATGATGCAGGCAAATGTAGGTCCTACAAGACCTCCTTGCAATGGTCTTTCTGACATTCCACCAGGGAATAGATCGATGTCATCGACTGTGGCGTAGATTCTCTTCAATCTGAAATAAATAAAATATAATCACATTCATTACTTCTATTAGAAATTTTGTTAGTTTAAAGATTTTGATTCTACACTACGTTACTGAAAGAATTTTGTCTACATATTTTTCCTACCTCGTGATAACTTCTGGTGGGATCTCCCTGGTCAAATCTTCAAAAGTTCTGGCTTTCTTTAAATTGCAAAGTGCTCTGTAGTTGTTGTAAGATGGAATTCCGTGGTCACGTCCTGAAATTTAACATGAGCATCAAGAATCCACTTTCAAAAAGGACTCTACTGACGAGCAAATTAAATGAGAACATGAAAGTTACAAAAGAGGATTCTACTGACGAGCAATTTAAATAAGGACATGAAAAATACAAGAAAAGACTCTACTGACGAGCATATTAAATAAGGACAAGAGAACTACAAAAAAGGACCTTACTAACAAGCAAATTAAATGAGAACATGAAAGTTACAAAAAAGGATTCTAGTGATAAGCAATTTATATAAGAACATGAAAAATACAGGAAAGGACTCTACTGAAGAGCGTATTATATAAGAACAAGAAAAATAAAAATAAGGACTCTACTAACAAGCAAATTAAATGAAAACATGAAAGTTACAAAAGAGGATTCTACTGACGAGCAATTTAAATAAGGACATGAAAAATACAAAAAAGGACTCTACTAACAAGCAAATTAAATGAGAACATGAAAGTTACAAAAAAGAATTCTACTGATGAGCAAATTAAATAGGAACTTGAATATATACAAGAGGACTATACTGATGAGCAAATTAATTAAGGACACGAAAAACACAAAAAAGGACTCTACTGACGAGCAAATTAAGGGGGCAATTCTGTCGTAACAGAGCTCACAAAATACCGTTGTCATGGCAACGCTCTTTCATGCTTGTTTTAGGTATTAAATTATGAAAATGCTGTGCGATCAGGCGAATTTTACATATAAACAAGCAAAGAATAATCTTATGATAACAGAATTTTAGGAAGGATTTTAGCAAGGAATTTCTTGCTTGTTTATATGTAAAATGCGCCTGATCGCACGACAAATAGATAGACTTTTATCTGCTCTGTTACGGTAGAATTGCCCCAACAGTTTTGTTTCTATTACTAATTTTTTCAAATATCATTCCCTTACCTCTTTGCAAATTCAAAGCTACTAAATCCACTCCAGAAAATGGTATTTTACGATCTTCAAACAAATGATTTGTGACTTCTCCAGTGATGAATTGATCTAAGGCTTCCATGGGAGTTGCCACTAAACCTCTGGCCATTTCGTCAATCATGAAGGGCTAGGAAAATAAGATATAGGGTATAATAGAACAACTCATTTTTATTCAAAAATTGTATATTTACCTGCATCAGCATGTCTGTTTTGAAGAAACCATCCCTGAGCAATATTGGTGGGTCGACAGGTTGATGTGTTGGGCTCAATCTAGGCAAATGAGGTCTTAATAAGGAATGGCCAATTCGGAAAGCGGCTGAGGCAAACTCTGTCAGGATTGTTGGATTGCAAGATGGATTGTATTCTTTATAATAACCTGAAACAGAAAAGAAACAATTATAACATTAACCAACTAATTACAATTGACCAATCGCCAATGGTAATTGGTAAACAATTGAGGCTACAGTGCAGTCTTAATTATCCCATCATTATAATTATAATATATAAGTTGAGTTGTGTAGGAGATAAATATTGGGAAAAATCGAAGAATGATTTTTTTGTCTTTTGCTTACCTTGAGGTAATAGTTTAAGTCCATACAAATTAACAGCGTTCCAACTCAACAATCTAGGCAACAATTCATTATATGTGATATGTTGGTTTTGAGCAATCAAAATTCTTCTGGCATGTTCGAAGATCAAATCTTCACTCCAATGTGGATTTACTTGACGAAGACCTTCTGCTATGCGATTGTGCTCTCTTAAGAATATTGTGTGGATCACTGTTAAACCTGGCTGTTCTGATGCTCTTCCATCACCTGGGGAAAAGGATAAAGTCATCAATTACATATCTATAACTATTCTTCAAAAGAACAAAAAACTTGACAGTATAATACATAAGATGAATACCATATAACATTTGTTTATGATAATTATTTTACCTGCTATAAAACAGTATCCACTAGCAGCTCTACATTCAGGATGAACTGGACTCCTAGGTAAAAGTTCTTTGCCTCTTCTAGGATGTGCTGTAGAGTTCATACGACCACCATATCCTCTCAGATCACGGAATACACAAACATTTTCACCATAAACTTGAGATGCATCCAAGAAATGAGTGTTTTGATTGACTTGCTGACGAGGACCTTAAGAATTAAAAAATACTTATAGAAGATCACAAAATAGAAAAACTTGGCATTGAAATGTTGAAATCAATTTCAGTCTGTCATTGTCCTTGTAATTTCATTCTTAATACCTAGTTGCTGTTGTCCAGGTAAAGATCTCATGAATGGGAAACACATTCTTTCACCACTCGTCACATTGATTTCAGGATAATAATGATCTCCTGGTGGAACTGGGAAAGGATTGCATTCAGGATGCACAGTTCTAGGTGAATCACAACGTCTGCAATCTGGTACGGATTCGTGGAAACCTGAAATGATAAAACACACACGTTGAATATATTATAGTACCAACTCAATAGAAATATTATATTTCTGAATTCAATATAAGTAGAACTATTAGAATGCAGAAATTTAAAAATTTTTGTGTCAATTTTTACCTTTGTGGATGGGAGTCATGGTAAGATCATGATCTAAGAATTGAGCATATTGCATGACCATCATTGAGTATCTGGTGTGAAGATTTGAGATATCTGGATGGATCAATGTTGAGACTACTCGAGGTGATGGTAAAGGTGCTCCTGATTCTCCAGTGATTTTAGGCTGGGACAAACCTTGAAACGAAATTTTGTGGTAAATCTATGAATTATTTTGTCGAATTGAAAAGTATGTATTTTTAGGACAACGAAAATTGAAGAAATTCAAATGATAATCAGTTTATTATGTCTGGTACTTCTGATTTTGAATTTATTAAACGTATGCAATAAAAGGAGAATGTTTTTATATCATACCATCCTCATATTGAGCTGGCAGTAACCGAGAGAATACTGTCAAACTTTTTCCAAGTGTTGGATTTCTCAAATTGTTGCAGTGACCACTGAATGTTCTGAAATAATAGCATTTTATTTAAAATACACATAACATGGAAGTTGACTATGACTAGTTTACTATGCAATGTGTGTCATCATTGAGACAAAAACACAAATTTTTATTATGTACCTGAATGGTGTGCTAATATCACAAGTGGTTCCAAATTCTTCACATTCAGTCTCCAATGTGGGAGCTACAGAACCCAAAAGTGAACTAACATCAACACTTTGCAAACTGTCGGTGAATTCTTCTCGTGTAAAAGCACTGTTGAAGCCTAGATTGTTGTCGTTGAAGATTTGGCGTTTACGCCTCCTAAAAAATAAATAGTGGTAATAAATATCAACTACCATCAGAAATCAAAGAAAGAGAAAAATTTGATTGGAGAAACCTTCCTAAAGCCAAAAAGCATCAGCTTATAGGTTTATTGGATGATGAAATATTCTGCTAAACAATGAAGATGAAATTTTGCTTTCAGTAATCTCATACAGAGGAATTTCGATAGACATAAATAATATTACCTGTTCAGGGAGTTCAAAATTTCGTTAGAAGTAAATTCCAAAAAGTGTGAAGAATTAGCCAAAGCCAAAGCTTGTCTATTTGCTTTGCTGAAAGCTGCAGCTGTACCAGCTGGTGATTTTGGATCCAGACCACCCACTAAAACAAGTAATAGAAAATTATGTAAACTCCTTCAGCTGATGAACTGGTGACATATCCTAATTAATGCAAAATTTCTTACTTCGTTCCCAGTTTTCATACTCTTGTTTTCTTCTGTTGATCATGTCTTGTTTGGCTTTTTCTAAGGCATCCATTAACAAATCTTCAGGAATATCACTTAAAGACATGTGGTCGGCGTCCATCCAGGCAGACAATTGTAAATGAGGTAGTTGGTTGCATAGGAGACCGGCATTCCTTAAAAATAATAATATAATATAAATGGAAATTGATTATACATCATTTGATTTTAATTTCCAAAATACTGGACAACTTAGATTTAGACCAAACCAAAATAGTATTATTACAATCAATTTAGGTACTTTTTTAGGAAATGCTTTATAACTCAAAACTTAAGATTTTTTGTATTTTTACTTACAAGTAGGGATCTTCTGTGATGAAAGCTTTGGGTTGAATCCTTTGTTTTCTTTCTCCTTGTGAACACAAAAGTCCTGCTAAAGTTACAGTTCTTATAGCTTGCAATTGCTCATTTGTCAGTGAAGATGGAGGTAAATCATTTTCGTACCAGAATCTAAGGAAAAATAAATTTTATATAAAAATACAAGGTAAAACAATTATATTCAATTTAATAACATATGGTATACATGAAGAAGTTGGAGGCTTTTTCGACTTATGCAACTAAACTAATACCTCGTAGGCCATTATAAATTTACCATACATCAAGTCTAAGTAATAGTGAATTTGATAAAATCCATCTGTTTTGTGATTTATCGATAGCATCATTTAGAATGGCAATTTTCCTGTATGTTACTTAACATTCAATATAAAGTAAAAGTAAAGCAGTACAGACAGACTGAATTGCTTATATAACATACTAGCATTTCATGTTATGCGAAAACCACTTTTGATATCAATTTATGCAGTTATAGAATTAATTCTAAAACGACTGAAGAACTGCATTTTATATATGAATAACAGAATTTTCACTAATCAATTGTAATAGAACTCATCACTTCTCTCCATGGAATGAAATCTAAGTTTGTATTTCAACTTTATTTTTTTTTGCTCGCGTAAAACAGCTTTTGATATATCTCTGTATCATGATTGCTTAAAATAATATTTATCTTTAATATTTATTATTAATAATTTTGTATGTCGGATTTAAATTATGATTTGACGTTACATTCTGCTAGAATTTACTAGACTTACTAATTCTTACTTATTATTCACCAGAATTGATATATGTTACTTAGGGTGGTCCTTAATATGAACATTTTTGAATTTTATTGCTCCCATGGGCTTAAATGCTTTCAGATTGATAAAAATCAATTCTCTGAAAGTTTTAGCTCTTAATATTGTCTTTTAGACAGAGCCCAATTCAATCAAAGTTTTGTATGAAAATAGCATGAAATTTTTTTGCAGATTTAATTTTTTTTTTCAATTTTCAATAAAAAATGACACGAATTTTCATTTTTTATTCATTTGTCGCTAAGTTATACCTAAAAAAATTTTTTTTTAGTTTTCAAATTTTTTTTCATGCTATTTCCATACGAAGTTTGATCGAATTGCGCACTATCTAAAAGACAATATTAAGAACTTAAACTTAAAGAGAATTGTTTTTTATCAATTTGGAACCATTTAAGCCTTTCGGAGCAAGGAAATTCGAAAATGTCCATTTTAAGGACCACCCTAATGTTCATACTTAAAAATACTTTACTTGAAAAGAAAAAAGGTGGTCCATTTTTCACCAGAATTCATATATGTTCATACTTAAAAATACTTTACTCGAAGAGCAAAAATATGGTAAATTTTTTAAGAACCAAGAAAATATTCCAATTGTTTCTATTAATTTATTACCTGTCGCTGTTTCTGGATTTCTGGAACTGCAAATCTAACAAACATGATAGAGTTGGACCAAAAATAGCTCCTTCTACTGGAGTTTCCAAAATTGCTCCTACAATCAAATCGATGTCGTCGACGTTTCTGAAAATTGAAAATTGTAAGGTCAATAAATTGGTAATATATTGTCAATGTATGTTGCTGAGGAATGGCAATATTTAGTCTGACAAAAATTTACACCAAATTGAGTTATCGATAAAATTAAATAGTTAGCCAATTGAAGTAATTATGATGTCTACCCATTCTGAATTTATGTTGATAAAAAAAACTATAATATAACTTTTGTGATGCCCCAAATTGATTTCGATTTCTTTTTGTCTTCTAAAACGACTAATTATGTCAATTTTTCCTACCCATATGCCAACTTAAGATTCTCAATGACATCCTTCTTAAGTCCAGCCGATTCCAATTGATTCCAAGTAGCATTTTGTGGAACTCTATTTCCACATAAGTTCAATGCATTGGTGTACGATGGAATTCCATGATCCCTGGCTTTGTGTATCAACAAATAATTCATTACTGAACTGCTGTCGTCAGTTGCAAAAAGAGTTGCTTCTTGGGCAGAAGTTGCCAGGAGAGATTTTATGGTGGAATCTTCATTTTTCTGAAAAAGAAAATAGATTAATGATTATATTTTACGAAGCCAATAAATCATATTTAATTTAATAAATATAATTTGTGATTCTTTCTCAAATTTAAATACCTAGAATAAATCATCTTCAATAGTTATTACACTTATAAAAACATTTTAACCAAAAAAGTGTGACCTTACCAATTGACCCACTGCAATATCTTGCATATCCCATAAATAAAATGTTAAATAATTTTGTATGATTGCGTTTATTAATGTACTAAATTAATTAGTGTTTCTTAATTTTTTTTATTATTTATTTTTACTACTTACCAAGGCAACTGATATCATGGTCGAAAAAATAGGCAAAGCTGCCAGAGCAACTTCGTTAAATGTTCCAGCCCTGTTATTACTGGAATAACCATTGTAGTATCCTGATTGTTGCAGACGAAGTTCTGGTTTGCTCACCGCCAGCTATAATTTAAAAAAATAAAATATTAATTATTTTTTAAGAATCAGGTCAAACATGTTGTATCTCACAAAGGGCGTCCATTGATCACGTGATACTATTAAGGGGAGAGGGTGTGTTCTGACAAAAAATCACGAAAACTCTTCTGGGGGAGGGCGGAGAATAGTAAGATATAATGTGCAAATGTAAAATTTTTACATTTTTTTTCTCCCCCTTAGGGGATGTTCATTAATGACGTGAGATTTTTAGGGGGAGGGGGGTCTGACAAAAAATCACGAAATATCACGTGGGGAAGGGAGGGGTCTAGAGAGATATCACTTATATTTATTTTTCACAAGATTTTTTAAAAAATCCAAACATTTTTTAAAAAATGTACAAATTTTACAATTTTTTTTCCAAACTAAAAATACACGTGATGTTGGTGGGGAGAGGTGTTGTATTTTTAAACATCACAACGTATCACCAAGGGGAAAGGGGGTCCAAAAATTTCTAAAAAATCGGTCACATGATAAATGGAAGCCCCCTTAGAGGTATGGTAAGATATCACGTGTATTTATTTTTTACTTGTTTTTTTTTTTAATCCAAACATTTTTAAAAAAATCAAAAATTTTACCATTTTTTTCTCGTAACTAAAAATACACGTAATGTTTGGTTGGGAATGGGGTTAATTTTGAATATCACCAAGGGGAGGGGGTCCAAAAATCCTTTAAAAAATCGATCACGTGATTAATGGACGCTCCCCAAAGAGAACCTCGAGTTTTTTTCTTCTGGGATTTTGATGAAACTTTGCATAGCGATAGAGTTGATGGTCAAATCGAACTGTTTAAAATATTATAGGCCTGTGAGAAGTGGTTTATAAAATTATGGTTGCCCTTCCGCATGTAATATTTCGAGATTTTTTGCCAAACTCTTGAATCTATTTGGAAAATTCGCAGGTTCTTGAGTATTAAACACAAGAATAAAACACTGTTTAAAACTTTTTAAGCCAATCACAAAAACAGACATAATTCACTTCCTGTAATAATGAATTTGAATTCAATCACTTAAATTCACTAATTATTAAAACAAGTGTTAATGAAAATAATATTTCATTTATAATTTTGTTCTTTCAAGTTCAAGATCGCAATTACTGCCAACATTGAATTACGAACTTGATCGATCAATCTTGACTAATGATCGATGGTAAATTATAATATCATTAATGATTGCAATATAAATCGTGCATGTGTAATTTCATACATTTTCTCTTTCATTACGAATTGTAATAATGTTAATGTTGATTGATAATGATATGGGTAATTAGAAAAACTTATTATAGTAATTGTAATAGGAAAAATCTGATAGTGACAAGACTATAATCTAAAGTAAAAGATATTTTAAGTAAAATATATGTTATATTTCTTTACCTCTCCTAATATTGTTGGTAGAAATTCGTTGTACGTGATATGTTGCATCTGAGCGATCAAAATTCTCCTTGATTCCAAAATAAATCGTCATCGTTCCAATGTTGGTTCAATCTGGATAATTCAAAGGCCAAACTGTTGTGTTCCTTCAGCAAAGATTTAATTAGTACGGAAATTGGAGATTTGTCGTCACATCTGTAAAGAATTAATTAGAACAAAAATTATTAATTAGCATCAGAATTTGTTAACTTTTTTGCCAAAATTTTGAACAGAGTTTGGAAATTTAAATACTTTTTGTCAGTTGGGAATGCCTTGATTAGATTTTGGCATAGATGGATTGGGATTGATTTGTTTGACGATTTTGATGAAACACTTTTTCATGGTGATGAAAATTTAATGAAGTAGTAAATATAAGCATTAAACCTAAATTTATACGAATAATGAGCGAGCAGTAGGTCTTAAGCCAAATTTAAATATCAACAAATGACTAAGAAAATCTTCAGTCTTCTTTTCTGAAAGTATTTTTTTACTAAATTGTTGCTATATTATTTTGCCCTTTACATAAAAAAATGACATTATATGAAATTTTCAGAATATTCTAAGAAATTTGTATTTTAGTCACTATTTTGCGTAAAAATGGTATCGTTAATAAAAACGACTCCAAAATTTATTCCTAGTGAAAATTCTCACAAACTTTTAATTTATTTGTAATTTAGTTACTCTTTTTTCACACTAAAACAATTAATATATGAAATATTTACAACATTCTAAATTATTTGTATTTAGTTATTATTAAATAGCAGTATTTATATTTTTTTAATATTTTTTGCCCTTATGTAGAATTAGATTATATCTTTCAATAAAAAAAAATGTAAAACTATATGAAATTTTTAAAAAATTCTAAAATATTTGTTTCTGCTCTAATACGCTATCGTTAATAAAAATGATAGCTAATGAAATTTTCACAAAATTCTAATTTTTTTGTAATTTGGTCACTCCTTTTTTTACATTGAAACAAGACATATATGAAATGTTTCCAATTTTCTTTTTTTGTATTTTAGTTATTCAATTATGGTAGCTCTCAAATAGCTTGTTAAAAAAAGACAGTATTTGGAATTTTAACAACATTTAAAATTTTTTGTATTTTAGCCATTCAATTATTGTAGGTTTAAATGTAAATTTAAATTAAAATACTATAGTATTTTGAAGACTTTTTTCTGAGAAGTATTTTATACAAAATTGTTCACATAAAATCAGCTTTGTCTTTCAAGAAGAAAAAAATGTAAAAAAAATAATATTAAATGATATTTTCAGAAAATTCTAAAAGCTTTGTATTTTAGTCTCTTTTTTCGCATAAAAATGGTCTTGCTTATAAAAATTAAATTTTAATTTGTTTGTAATTTAATCTCTCTTCATTAAGCAATACATATATAAAATGTTCACAGAATTCTTAATTTTTGTATTTTAGTATTTAATTACAGTGACCTTAAAATAGCATGTTAATAAAAAAGACAGTATTTGGAATTTTCACATTTTTTTGTATTTTAGTCAATTATTGTATATTTAAAAAAAACTTCTCCAAAAATGACATATTCTCATTAATATTCTTGGACAATGTTGGTTTAGAAAACGTCAAATACTATTTTGCTTTTGCAAACTCACTAATTGAGACATGAGTGAAAATTATCGAACACTTCGACTTCAGTATAAATCAATAGACTCTTATATAAGATAAGATTTATTTTTTCTAAATTTAAATAAGTTGCAGTAGTACTCAGATCTTTTGTCTTGCAATCACAGACTTACATTATATTCACGTATCATATTGCTTGATATCGAGCTTGTTATTTTGAAACACGACTAAATTCCAAATATCCTATCTAATAATAATATCACATAAAGAATGAACAAATACTGGATTATATTCTAATAAGGAATTAGGAATTAGGAATTATGATGGTCTTCCAATAGGAATCTAATTAGACTAAATATAATACACCTAATCTTTGCATATGATACAATTAACAAATCTAATAATTTATTTATTTTATTACACGATTTAACTTCATACTCTCAGTCGTTATTAAATAAATCTATTACATAATATTTTCCTTATTGATTTTTCTCATTAAAAAAATGAAAGCCATTTGATCAGTTATGAGCAATTGAATCATCTGGAGCAGAAAGTTAAGGCTACACAATCAGATCGGCTAACACGATTTTATATCACGATATGAAAAAACAATGGACAATCGATCATGTTAATCATTCATTTTATTTAATTGAATTTATGCTATAACTCGATTAAATTTAAAGTGGTTCATAGTACCATTTAACATAAACATTTAACCGATAATAGCCTATGTATGAGGATTAGCAGTCCATGTGTAAGATAAGGTCAATGAAATAAGCCTAATAATCTGTATTCTTTAATTTAACTTACTCAAAGCTATTACTAAAGCTAAATTAAAAAATCATTTGTCCATTTGTTACTATTTTTACTTACTTTGTACATCTTTTCAAGTCCACCAGACCGCCGTCGTATTTTCTCAATCTGCTAACTTCTTCATTTGTTCCATACACAGATGATCCATCAATAAAACCACTTGCAGAATTTAATTGCTCTCGATGACCTGTAAATTAAAAAAATATATAAATTAAAATACATTGATAAATATAATTATATTTACTTATTTGTCTCTTGACGTTCCGAGTTTTTCTGCGTGACTCGAAAATTGAGATACAAAAATACATATATTCGTCGGAGAATGTTTCACTTGAAAATGTCTCAAGTGAATATCTGATATCGTACTGCTTGATAACAGGCTGGCGTTAGTGTTTCTTAGTATACATTAATAGTAGAGTTTCACTACGATATTTAGTTTCTTTTTCCATTGAATATTTTTGTGAAATGTGAAAATGTGATCTTAATGCAAATGCTGTTGGCTCCCGACTTTTAGTACTGCTCATAATATTTCCTTGTTTTTTATATGTAAATTACGCCTGATCGTACAGCAAATGATAGAATTTTCATAAAATCACTACCTATCATATTTATAATCATACTTATTTATCTATGCTATCTTTATTGATAAAGACATTGTAATGGCAACGCATACTATGAGGCAGAATTGCTTCATAAGAGCTTAACACATTTCTGTTAGCTCGCGCATTATTGTACAGCTCGATTTTACTTATGCCAATAAAAAATTTCGCTGTTAACTATATTAATTTTATATAGTTCACATGAATTAGTATATAAGGTATTCTTATATACAATTTTTGGAACCCCATATCCTTTGATGGTAGGGGTTAATGAACATATCAAAATTAAAAAACACTATTAAATTCCCGAAGGGAAATTTATGTTTTTACTAGAAAATCCGACTCGGTAATAAACACATATATATACTCTATATTTTTTCTCAGTTCGGTGTCAAACCACATGGGATTTTCTGGCGAAAAATATAAATTTTCGGTAAAATAATTATTTGTTCCTAATTAAAATCATATATCAAAGTACCTATAACTGTAACACTTTTTATTCGTTCTTGATACAATGTTCATAATGTTTTAATAGATATTTAACGGTACATTGTTGTAAAGGTGAAATTTCTCTTCTCAATGTAATATGACGTTGTCAAACATAATAAAGTATGTGTCGTTAAAATGATTGATGCTTCATCTATAATACTCCGACTTTGTGATAGTGACAACTTTTCAAGAATACTTGTTAAACATCTTGTGATAATAAACTGTTTTGAATAATAAACATTTATTCTAGTGGTAATATAAATTATTTGAAGGGTAGGTCGACCACCGATATCTCAAAAACAAGTAAAGTTAAGAATTTTTTAACCACAATATTTGAAAGTAGGGGGCAAAAAATGTACAACCAGTCTCCACCTTGATTCTTACGACATACTATCAGAAGATAATAGAACATGTTGAAATCTTTTAAATTTCTTCCTTGTTAGTTTTTTTAGTTATGAGCATTTTTAAGTATTAATTTTAAAGATTTAAAAAGTTAAAAAAAATTATTTTACAAGAGATAGATTAATATGTGGGGCGCATGGCATCGCGCCTTAAGGCAATTGCTGGAACTTCCCGTACCGTAATTAAACATTCGAAAAATTAAAATAATCAATAATTGTTTTGAATAATTTCGAGTAGATTATTTTAAAAAAACATACTGCAAAACTTATAAGTACTTTTAAATTAGGCGAAGAGCGTATTCTACAAACAACTTTGTGTATGTTTATAAGAAATTTGTTCTTTTTTTAATTTGATTTTTTTTTTGATAATTTAGAAATTTTTTCGAAATTTTGAAATTTTTTTAGAAGTTTGAAATTTTTTGGAATTTTTTAAAGAAAACGTATTTTTTAAATTTTTGAAAATTTTGAATTTTTTGAAAATATTATGAAAACACATTACTACAATATGATAATTTATCTGCGCTTTACATTTATGATGTAAATATTAAATTCTTAATAACAACTGTACTTATATTAAATATTCTTAGCATAAAAATTTATACACTAATATTTATTTTCGAAGAAAAATTTAAAAACTTATTTCCTTTTATTTGAACAAAAAAAAAGTATTTCTTTTTGAAATATTTCTGATTTCGAATAGTTTTTTAAACGTGAGAAAAAATTAACTGTAAAAAAATTGATGTAGGTGGGAGTTTTACTGAACATAGTTAGATAGTTGTTTGCTTGATTTGTGGTATTTTGTTTTTTTTCATTAATTGCTCAAAGTCGAATTGGATCTTTGTGCCCCGCTCCACTCCCTAATTTTTATGATTTTCAATCTTTCAAATTAACTAAATTAACAAGAATGAAGAATTTTTGAAAATATGTTAGAACTAAAAATAAACATAGCTAACATGACTTTATATACGTTATTTTTACTACTTTTTGGTCTAGCCGTGCTCGTGGTGCAGAAGTTCAAGCTTTGGTCTTGCAATCACAGGGTTCCTAGTTTAATCCCCATAGTAAAAAATAGTGTTTAAAATATCAAAAATATCAGATTATATTTTTCTCCGGATTTTTATGAAATTATATGCAATAAATACCAAAAGAGTTGATAAGTAAAATCTATTATATTAATAAACGAAATGGACGTTGTCTCTCTTGTTACATTATCGTGTCGGTTTTTGCAGTTTAGGAATAAATTAGATATTATAATAAAATGTGCTTGGAATTTTAAAATTTCACTTACTGTATTTGCAAGAATCCTGATTTTGTGCTGGTGCTGATCTTATATAATCGATACAAACTCCATCCACCCTATGGTAGCATTCAGGATGTGCAGTCTGCACTTTGCAACAAGTTGTCTGAAAAATAATAAGAAAAACATAAAATTTGTTGAAAAAATTAAATTGAAATTAAATAAATTTATAAACTTAAGGGGTATTGCAATATTTTTGTTAAATCAGGTGAAGCATTAACCTAAGAATTGAGATGGGTATCTGTAAGTGAATGAAAAAAAAATCAATACAATTTACAATTTGCAATCCAAATCCATAAAAAAATAATCAGAATTCCTAATATACTATACCGCAGTATAAAGACTTTTGTATTCTTTTGTATTAAATATTTAAAAAATAAAGTGTATATATTTTCTCATTGAACAAAATTCCTTATTATTATTTTGTTGTGGATGAGAAAGTAATGAAGAAAATTATGATATTTTCTTCATGTCAGAGACTTAAGAGATAAGTCATTGCAAATTAGTAAGAGAAAATCATTCTTTCCATGATAGTCGACAATGATATGCAAATTGTAGTAATTTAGGTAGAATTATTGTACATTTGAATGGAGAAATGATGATTTACTTGTACTAAAATGTAATGGAAAGAATATAGTAAACTTGGAAATCATAGTTATACTAAAATGTAAAACATTATCCATTTGATCGAAAAAAAACAGAATCAAATTTATTTTTTATTAGTAAAGCTTAAAATATTTACTATTGTTACTAATTATTTTAAATGGGACTATAAGTCAAAAAAACACGAAATATTCACGTGGGTAAAAGTATAATAAGATATCAAGTGTGTTTTCTTGAATTTAAAAAAAAATCCAAAAAATCCCAAAATTCAAAATTTTCAAAAATTTTATGAATTTTCCTAGGTACTAAAAATACATGTGATTTTGAGTAGAAGCAGGGGTGTTATTTTCAAATATCACCAAGGATAAAAAAGACGTGTTAAGAAAAATTCTTTAAAATGTGATCACGTGATTAATAAACCCAAAATTATTTATACCTGCACTAATGCAAAACTAATGAAAATCCAAACCATTTCAAACCATTTTAAAAAACTGTTTAAAATTCGCGCAAACTCCATTAAAATGCAAATATAAAGTCTACCGTAGGTGCCATTAATTATCTACTTGATTCGACCGAACAAAAACTAAACACCTAATTATAGTAAATTTTTTTTGCATCATTGTTAATTATGATAAACAATGGATTGTTGTTTTCAATAAATGTGTCATTGCCAAAATGTGGGCAGAAAAAAACTCGTAAGTTACGACAGCGGGTAACACGCCAAACATGGTTTGTAAAATTAAAAAAGACGTCATTAAAAGATTAAAAGATATTTAAGGACTTTGTGGTTATTTTGATTCATTACGTGTGAAGGTAATAGAATTACACTTATGATAAAATTTCTTGAGAAATTTGAGATTTAAGATGATGAGTTGATGTTCCTATTATATTATTAGGACACTTGTATTTGAATTTCATACGTGGGATTTTTCTCTGGGCCAAAAACGCGTCTTATGCGAGAAAGTTTATTTTATTGAGCATAATTGTTATTGTTTCAATTACTTGGGGTAAGGCGGGGCTAGTTTAGCAAATTTTTACTTAAACGGATGTAGCTCCTCAATGAAAAGTCTCAATTAATTGCTATACGGCTTAATAGATTTGTTGTTTATCGCTTAACAAAAGTGTTATTACTAGTTTTTGGTAATAAGTAAAACTTACTGTTATTACTAGTTTTTGGCAAAAGTAAAGCTGTTCAAATGCAATCTATGCTCAATGTACCCCATAGGTGGGGCAAGTTAAGCACTAAGAAAGTATAATAAAATAACAGATTCAATGTCGATTAGTGATGAAATAAATAAGTTTTTAATAACCAGTTCTATATTTATTGTCTTTATTGACAGAGAAAACAATACTTATAGTAATTTGCTTCGAATAATTAACGAAAAGTAGAATCAACAAAACAATATCGTATCTTAGGAATTATTTTACCATTATATTCAGTATTTTTGTTTAAAATCATTATTTCTTTGTATTATTACTCATAGACTTAGCTTAAATCTTAAAAGTAATAATTAATTTCTGGACGTTAATGGTGATTGTCTTAGTGACAGAACAAGTTTAGCAACTATGCCCAACTAACCCCAACTCGGAAATTCAAAATAAAAGTGAGTTTATAAATAAACCGCGAGAATTATACCCAGAATTTCTGTGCATATTAAAAGTACTATAATTTTTGGAACAATAACATTTACCTGATTAAAAATAAATAACATTTGACTAAACCAGACGAAAACTTGTGATGAATGACTTTTTTACTTTTGGTCTCAAAATAAACAAAACGCCCGTGAGCCTCACTCATTTGTCCAGCGGCCACTAGCGATCGCGGGATGTTTATTTCACCCAAACCTCTATCTTTCCGCCATATAATGCCTAAACGGACGGTGAATAGTTTTCGAGATATTTCGATTGCTCAACTTGCCCCTATGCTTAACTAGCCCCGCTCTACCCTACATGTAAATTTGCATTTACATTGACTTACATTTTGTAATTGTTGAGTTGGTTCAGCCAATTCTCTATGTAACAATTCACCCCATACTGCGACTAATGACGTCACATGTGGGTGAGGTGTTGGTGTCACGTGTCTGAACAATGACGTCAGCTGTCGCGGACCAGGCAAGGCATGTGACGTCACGGACACTCTTGGGGATGAGATACCTGGAAATAAAATACCTATATGAGAATTTTTTCTGTAATTTCGAAATCAAGAAAAACATTACATCGGCTAATTACTTATTAATGTATCAAAAAAGAAAAAAATGACAAGAAAATTTGCCACTATTTTTTATGTCACACATATATGACCAGAAATTTTTAGGGTTAGACACATATAATAGGGTTATACACATATGACTGATATGGCAATTAACGTGTTAAAAAATCTAGAAAAATTGTTTTTATTTAATTTGATATGCATTTATATAGGGTTTGTCGGAAAATGATTCTGTTTGCTTTAAACATTGAAATTATGCTCTTTGAGAAGATATCTTAGTCTTGAATATTTCGATTTCGAAATTTGTTATGACCTAAATATATCCATTGACTTCTTTTGTATTACTCTTATTATGTACTCTTATATTTTTGTAAAGGAGAAGTGTGAAAACTCCCAACACCTAATACAATATTTATTTGTCTACTTCCAATTTTATACATTTTTCTTTTCCCAGTGAAGTTTGCAGTTGCTAACATAAATTTTTGCCAATTTTACCGTAAAATAGACTAATGTTATGGCGAACATATTATTAACTTACGTTCTATTCTATACGTAATAATTAACAAGGACATCAAAAATAAAATATTTTAAAAAAAAGGGCCTGTAAGGTTCACCCGCGATTGAAGTAAAACTTTTTTGCTTTTGTACGAGATGGCATTTAAGTTAAAATAAATACATCATATAACAATTTTGAATAATGTTTATTAGTAATATGGTAACACTCGTGGTGCACACATTTATTAGAGCTATTTATTATACACATTTATATAATAATAAATTATAAATTATATATTTATAATAACATTAAAAATATTTATAATATTTCAAAGCAATAATGTAATTAAAATCACACTTTAAATACGATATGATCGGTTTGTCATTGTAATTAGCATTTAGAAATGAACCTTTGAAGTAATTGCTGATTAATAAATTCTATAATATTCGTTCACACAGTGGATTATGTTAAACAACGCCTAAACAAATATCGTTTTTGCAACTTCAATCATCATGTAATAATTGTGTTTGAAGAACTTCATGTGATTAAATTAACATGCATTCATTGACTGCTTGTATTTTTTTTTTTACTTTTTTGCTGGCGATATAATCTCATTCTTTGAGCAGCTGTAATATCTGTCTTGTCTGAAAAATATTTTCTATTCTAATAACTTCAAAAATTTATAGAAGCTACGAATAATATAGAAACTATTTCAATAAACTTTCGTTTAGTGCACGGCACAAATGATTAATTTGTTTTATTATTTTCAAGGAAACAGGGTAAAATATTGTTCTGTTTCAGGCATTGTTCATTGAATCAAGATTTTTACTACCATGTAACCTTAAAATGTTTATGCTGATTTCCTTGTTGATATCGGCACGCATACGACGACAGATCTCTATCTACGTGATACGACGACTAATCACAATCAACCCGTACAGAAAAGATTTCATCGAAAGCGAATGACGTACAGCTCTGGCGTAACGCTATTTCCGTTGCATTCTAACAGATTTACACCCTAGTAGCTCCTAAAGAAGTTTTACTTCAAAATCGAGTACTTTAAGATCCGAAGAAGCTAACTAAGCTATATTAATAATAAACTATTCACTTAAATGACTTCATTATATATTTGATCAATTTTACCTAATATTTTTGAGCTTATGTCGTTGCCCAATTTAAGTAATATTTTAATAAATTAGGTGATTTAGGTGTTTAGTGTGAATATTAATATTTAAATTTACCATTGGCATAATCTGGTTTGAGTAATCTGAGGAATATATCTCCACTAGCTCCCCAATGCCTGTGTCTGACATTGTTGCATTCACCTGTAAAAAAATTTAAAGGTTAATTTTCAATTACCAAAGTAATTTTTTATCATCTTTTATTTATTACTTACCAGAATCTGTCCTATATTTGCTGGGCGGACAAGGTTCTTCTTCTTTGTCGAATTGGCATGGTGTGGTGTTTGTGGAAAACTGTAAATTTGCTCTTTGCGTCCTATTGTTGTGAAATGCATTTTGAATCATACTCATCAGTTCAGCCGAGTAACCTGGACCGCCTGATGTGCTCAGGGAATCGCTGGTCGTACATATTGTCAGCAATGTTACCAGGGTACTGGAAATAGAAACAGAAAAATTTGTTAAAATGGGAATAATATAATAATCAAATATTTTGCCAAAGAATAACATCTTATATATAAAAATGAATCGCAAAATGTTTTGGTAAGCGCATAACTGAGCAACGCCTGGACCAATTTGGCAAATTCTGTTTTTAAAATGTTCGTTGATGTCCACGGATCGTTCTTACGGCGAGAAAAAATCGAATAATTGCCGGGAAAACTCTAAAAACAACCCTTTTCTTTTTCTCATACAAACGTAGAATCAATTTGAGCTTTATTGCTATTATATAAAGTTCATATAAATTACAAGCACTCACTGTATACTCCTCCTAAACGATTATTCGGATTTTGATAAATCTTTCTGACGTTTGAAGGAAATTTTCTAGGATGTATGTGATTATAAAGTACTGCGATGTATGTGCAATATTGTAGAAATAAATGGAAAAAAATGCAAAAAACGACATGTCATTGTTTGCATTGAAAACAAATGAAAACTATCATCTGCCACAAATTTCAATTTACTTATGAACCTAGACAATATTAGAATATGTATAGTAAATTTATGATTATGAATAAGAAAAATGAAATGTCTACATTATTATTGCCGAAAAGCAGCTGAGATGTGCCAGAAATTAAAATAATATAAATTACAGTATATATATGGCTTATTGAATGATATACATATGACAAATTAATTTTATTTATTTATTTATTTATTTATTTTACAAGCCGTCGGTATAATATTTAATATTATAATAAGGCTTAAGTCAATATTTTATAGGTTTAATATAATTTAATTAATTATTAGCTATTTTCTTACTTAATTTATTTACTATAAACCTATTTATATTTACTTAATTAAAATTTTTTTGTTCAATCCAATAGTTTGGTTTGTTACAAGTTTGTTTTTAAAAATTTAATAAGTAAGTTTTAATAAGCTTTCAACCTCATACTTTTACAAAATTAACCAATTTAGGTATAATTTTAGATATTTTTAATAACAAATTTTTGATCTTATATTATTGTATTTATATTATTATAATTTATCATTATCATTTTTATTGTTATTGTTAAATATTTTTCCAATTTTTTTTTTTTTATTATTTTACAAATTTTTAGGTATTTTGATGAAGGAATATTTTGTTTCACAATTTTTTAAGGTTTTTTAAATCTAAGTTTTTGGTTAACTAATTATTAAGTATTTTAACAATAACAGTCAAAATAAAAAAAAATTAAAATTTTGTTTTTCACAATTTTGTTAAAGTGTTTTGAATTATAAGTTTTTAGTTAACTAATTTTAAGTATTTTTAACATAACAGTCTTATGAAAATAATAATTAGAAAAAAAAAAAAAAAAAAAAAAAAAAAATGTTTTCTCAAAATTTTTTGTTTTTTAAAATTGTAAGTGTTTATTAACTAATTATTAAGTATTATAACAATATAACAAAATAACAGTTATATAAAAAACAAAAAAAAAGAAAAAAATAACAACAGACAGAAATAATAATAAATAATAGTAATTTAGAAGTATTTAGTTTAACGAACGAATTATGTTGTCACGAGCATAGTAGACATAGACATGGCTGGTAGGTGACATCAGTTAGTTTGGTTTAATTCACTTATAATATGAAATTAAGTATTAACCAGGGCCGGTCCTACTAGCGCACGCCTTAGGGGGCGCCAACACAAGATTCGGATATTAAATTTTTTATAGTTTTTTTTTTCAAATATATAATTTCTTTGCATCTTTTACTAATCTTAACACAATATTTTTGAAATTGTAAAAAAATCACAACAAATGGGAAAGTAAAGATGAACACATACAATTCGGCCCTCACGATATTGATTAGGAGAAGTTTAAGATGCAATTTTAAATCTTAAATAATAAAAAATTAAATTAATTCAATCCAACATGAAGTACCAGTGTTATGTTATGGTTATGGTTATATTATACCGTTTAAAAGACCTCTATTTCCAATATAGTGACGGAATTGAGACTCATCATTTTATTTAAAGCAGTTAAGAACATTGAACATCGCTCATATTATAAATGTATATGCATTTTGGCGTGAAGAGTAATTTGAAAAACAATAATTATTATTTTTAGGTAAACGGTAAATATTAGTATATTATATTAAAAAATTGTAGACATGGGTACAGGACAACGTCTGTCGGGTCATCTAGAATACGACAAAACTGGGTATTAAATTTTTGTTTAGTAAAGAAAAATCAACTAGTCACCCAAGTCATCAAGAAAAATTCTTTTTTATCTCAAAGAGATATTAGTTATTAATTTATTTAAATCTAATGCATAATGATTAATATATCATCCTCTGCATGTTATCATCTTATTTTTGTTTTGGACTTCGAAAATTAACACACGCGTGCGTTGACTGACATTGATCTGATGTTGATTAGATAATGTTTCTTCTTGGTCTTCATGAATAATTATTTGACCGCGTGTGCGCCGTTTTTTTCGATACTTTTTTTTAAAACTCTGTTTGTTATTATATTATGCAACCGTAATAATAATATTTATATGTATTTCCTGATTCATTTTACAAGGAAGTCGTACGTAGGGTAAAAAAGGGTTGACCAGGATGAAAAACTTTTGATCCTAATTTTATTATTTCTGCATGCATTGTAAGATGAAAAATAGCTTACAGTTACTAAAATTTTGGGTGAAATCTAATTTATATTGGAAATTGTTTGACGTAAAAACCACAAGGGACGAAGTTTAAATTTCGTAAGATAAGGATATCCATTGTTCATAAATTTAGTATCAGATATGAATATCAAATTGTCAGTTAGATGTAGTTGTGTACGTTAAGAATGTTAATGATACTACTAGTATTAATTACTAATTTTTTGCACCAAGATAATTAAAGAGAAGACTAATGAACTTCCTGAATTGCATTGAAGGCAATTGATTCTAAAATTTCTTCGTAATTAAATTGTTTTTGTTGTCTTGTTAATTATGATTCTAGCTTATAATTACCATCAATCATTCGAATAGATAAAGACTGTGCTTATATCTCAAATTTATTAAAATTAAAAGTTTCTGAATATTTTGGCATACCATAGAAAAAATTGATGCATGTTTGTGTGTATGTGCGGATACAAATTTTTGTCGACGATTTCGGGCACACCGATTCAACCGATTTGAATATTTAAAAAAACCTTCGATTTGTATTGATGATGTGGAGACATACTGATTAGTTTTTGGCAGAGGCAGGTCTAGCCGTTTTGAAGATACAGAGCAAAAAGTGCAGAAATTCCGATTAGATTCTAGACATCCGCTCATAGCGTTGTGCGTGAGCATGTTGTTATAGCTGAGTTGGTTGGCGCGTCAATGCAATTTTTTCATTTTTTTTAATATTTTTAATGTTTGTATAGTTGATACTGCATGAACTATTTAAAATTGTTAACTCAGTGCATATATTTCGCGAACGAAAAATTGATGCATTTGAAATAAAATATGTTCATTCTAAGAATAAGTCCGCTTAATTAGATCTTGTTTATATATATTTCATTCAAACATATATAAACAACGTCGTCTAATCTAATGAGTTTTCACATTTTGTCTACAAGGAACAAATAATGAAAATTCTAGTTTTTATAATATTTATTCATATACATTTTGTTGACTGATTATTTTCATTCTTCGAATGTTTAATTACTGTACGAGAAGTATCAGCAATTTGCCTTAAATTTCTTGTATTTATTCCCTACCAGCATCATACTAAAATAATAAATAAATAATAAAAATAAATATATTTCATTGAATATATATGTGTACATAATATTTCTCATTTCGGATTTTTACCCGTAGGTATATCATCCTTCATATTTGTTCTATCAATACAATAATAAGTATTTCAGATATACAAGTTGTGACATAATTCTGTGACAAAAAAGAGGAAAGAAAATTTATTCCCCAAAAAAAATCACTTAGCACTATTTATAATAACAAATAATAACTCAAAAAGGAGAAAAACCAAAATAAAAGATTTATTCACTTTATGGGAGAATATTTGCGTCGAACCAAGCTTCATTTACCGCTATGGGTCAATCAGTATATATTTTGGCATGGCGTGATTGCCATACCAAATATCGTCTTTTGTGTATTGGCCGAGGCCCGCGATGTTAACATTAGGATGATCCCCACATTTTAGATAAAAATTCTCAGTGAGCTTTTTTATAAAGTCTATTATGGTCGGTAAGTCAGTCTGTTTGTGTATGTATTTTGAAGAGTAGTAATGTCTAGTCAGTGGGTCCCTTATTTTGTTGAGTACGAGTCGTAGTGTCTTATTTTGTAATGTCTGTAGTTTTCGTAAGTTAGTCTTAGTTGTCGCGTTCCATGCCGGAGCGGCGTATGTCAGTATCGGTCTTATTAGTGTCAAGTAAAGTGTTCGCTTGTTCTTCACGCTTAGCGGGCTGTTGTGGTTCAAGAGAGGTCTCAGTAGATTTAACATCCCGTAAGCTTGTCCAATTTTTGTATTAACATGTTTTGTGAAGCTGAGTCTGTGGTCCAGGGTCACACCAAGATATTTGACATCCTTGGACCACTCAACTTCACAGTCCAATACTTTAATTTTGTCCAAGTCAGTCAGTCTAGTCGTGGCATTTCGGCTCTTTGTGAAAAGAATAGCCTCCGTCTTTTGCGGATTGATTTTAATTTGCCATTTGTCAGTATATTCAGTTAGTTTGTCTATGTGTGTCTGTATCTTTGTAGTCAGTAGTGTAGGTGAGCGTGATGATTTGTATATGGCAGTGTCGTCAGCAAACGTCAGTAACGTTGTGTCGGTGTCAGTGGGTATGTCGTGAATGTAGACGTTAAACAGTGACGGTCCCAGGATTGAGCCCTGCGGTACTCCCGCCGTCACTTGTTTAACCGTCGAAAGTCCGTTGTCTACTTGTACAGTGAAGTTGCGGTCTGAGAGGTATGAGTGTAAAGTTCTCGTTATGTACGGTGGAAAGTTTAGTTGGATAAGTTT